GTGTCGGGGGTGGGACAAATGCGACCTTTTTTTTGCGCACCTAGACATTTGCGCACCTTTTTTTTTGCTGGAAAAGGCCTTAGGAAAGGTCGTAGAGCTTCAAAAATGTTTGCATAAAAGGGAATCGTATGCGTAGATTCCGAATTTCGACAAATCACACCTCGCTGACACGTCAAATTTGGGCTAAAAGGCAAAAACTGCGGAAAAGGGTTAAGTTGCGTAGTTTTTGCCTTTTAGCCCAAATTTGACGTGTCAGCGAGGTCTGATTTGTCGAAATTCCGAATCTACGCATACGATTCCCTTATATGGAAGTATTTTCGAAGCTCTACGGCCTTGCCTAAGCCTTGCCGTTGTCCCACCCCCTAAGTGTCAAAAAAATATGCCACACATTAATTTTAAAAAAATGGAGGACATCTACATCGATGCTAAAACTCCGAAGGAAAGAAATAGAGTCAAGTTATGTTTTCTTACGGTTCAATAGCAATTAGCAAAGCAATCCAGCAATTCAATCAAAGCCAGAACTCACAGTTGCGGTCGATGACATCCCAATGTGAAATTGATCAAAATAACGAAAAATAAGAAGAACGATGTCGATAAACAAGCCATCTTTTGAGACAAATCTGATGTCGACAAACACTTCTGATGAACGAATAGACAGTAGAGTGTGACAGTGGAGTGAGTGGGTGTGAAAATTTGAAGAAAAATGGGCAGATACTCAAGCGAGATATGAACGAAATAAAAAACCGAAACCGAAGCTATTCTTTTTTTAGGCCTCTAGTCAAAACTTGCTTTTGCTTTCTCTCTTCTTGATGCCATCTGAGCGATGTGCTGAGCGCACGTGTTTCCCTTGTCTATTGTTTTGAAAATATAGTCTACTGCAACAGGTGAAGACTAAATAACAACAGAGACTCCAACGCAATATTGTGGTAGTGTAAGGGCTTGACTTGAAGCCATGAGACTATAGGGGATAACAGAGACTATAGGGGATAATCAGAGATCAGAGAGATTAAGGGAAAAGCCAGAATCATAAAAGAATATTATGGAATGAAACTCAAATCTCAATCTCAATCTCAATCTCAAAAAGCGAGATATAGACGGAATGGAAACCGAAGCTATTCTTTTTTTTGGCGTCTAGTCAAAACTTGCTCTTGCTTTCTCTCTTCTTGATGCCCTCGCTCAGCACTTGCCGTGTTTTCTCTGTTTATTGTTTCAGAAAATATACTATACTGCAACAAGTGAAGACTGAACAACAAAGAGACTCCAACACAATACTGTAGTAGTGTAAGGGCTACGAGGGTCCACTCGATGACACGAACCGAGCCTACGACATTGAAGGCCATCCTTTGAGCACTCACGTCTCTGTCTAACACAGTGGAAGATCCGATGAACCAGTCACGGTTGTCCATGAAGAGAAATCTGAAGTTGGAGAGAAAGAGAAGGGACCAAGCTTCACTGACAAATTGGCTGGCCTCTTCAAGAAAGGTCCAGCCCATCTCTGTAGTACTGTAAGGGCTTGAGTTGAAGCCAGGATTGATAATTGGGACTATAAGGGATAATCAGAGATGGGAAAAGAAGAAAAAAAAGAATCATAGAGAATATTATGGAATGAAACTTCGGCTCCGCTTGTAAACTTGCTCAAGGAGGAGAATCGAGGAGACTAGAGTAGTCGGAGATGACCATCGAGTTGTCCACTGCCCAAAAGCATGATATTGATTCTGTGTCGGCTGTTGCAACCAGAAACCCGGATTCTCAACAAAGTTTATTGCTCCAGAAGGTTACAATCAAGTCGAGAAGGTTGCAATCAAGTCGGCTTTTCGGTCATATTTTTTACTGAAGATTGTACAGCTTCATGATTGGGCCAATCGGAGTGGTTATTCGGTTAAATGGCGTTCTTTAAGACGTTTTACTGAAAGGGTGAATGTCAAGGTATTGAAGGAAGGAAGTGAATCAAAATAAAGTTTTTGGGGAAAGTGATACTGATTTGGTGTCAGCTGTTGCAACCAAAAACCCGGATTTTTCATTTCGAGAAATTGCTAACAAAGCTGGTATTCCAACAACTTCGCTCCACCGTATGGTTTTATGGTTTTATGGTTTTTTTTGATAGTTTCAAGTTATTGACACAAGTAAAAAGATTATTAAAGTTTATCTATAATGTCTGTAGCAACTGGTGCATACACTTTCTGAATCAAATAAAAAGAATCGTCTGGGAGTTTGGACAGAATTAGTGAACCAGAAAAAAACTATTTCAAACTTGAAGAAATTCTAATGAAAAATGATTTCCATTAAACGTCCCGAAGATCAAATCACATGTACTTTACAAAGTGATATGCCACAAAGTGAATGTAAAAGTGATAGGCCTTTTCATTTGTTTGAGAAACTAGCCAACAAGGCTCGAGGTTTCGGAGTTATGATATGTGTGTCGAAAAGCGGTCAAAACTTATCGAAGTTAAAAGAACGATCAATCAGTCCTAATGGATAGTGTTCTAGGGTTTCAAAACCTTTAAGCCTCCTGCCCCCGGTTCGATTCCCCCGGTTCGAATCCTTTCACCGCCAAGCTTTTTTCCTTCCTTATTAAGGCATGAAAATTGATTTTTAAGGGCTTTAAAGTCTTTACAAATATTAATTAGTAGAAAGCTTCCAATTCAGGCCTCCCTCTCAATGATGTTGCCAATGTTGATGGCAATGGGCGAAATGGACCATTCGTGGTGTCAATTCAGAAACGATTCTGCATTGTCAAATTGGCAGCCATCTTGGAATAGAGGATTGTGAAGCTGATTTCATTTTAGATATGAAAATTATTGCTAATATCAAAATACGGGTTCTAGTTGTTTCCATGTTTTTTTGAGTGCTGATAAATGTTTTGAATCAAAAGAGCTTTGATGTGATCGATTTATTCAAAAGACAATTAGAAGATAAAGAACCAGAAAGAAGAAACAAGCAACAATTCTTTATTGTTTTCGCTGGAAATTTTGTCTTTTCATTGGTTGATGCTTTTCTCTTCTAAACTTAATCGAGCAGTTCCCATCTCTTCTCTTTCGTTTCCAAATCTTTTTCTCTTGAGTCAATTTTTCTGGACTCTTTTCAGTCTTTTCAGTCTTTTCAGCCAACTCTTTGCCATTTTCCACTTTTTCCATTTTCCACAAATTGCACAAATAATCGAAAGCCCCAAACAGAGGTTTGATTTCATCTTCCCTTGATTTCATCTTTTTATCTTTTCATTTTCCAATCTATCACTTTCATCTCGTTGTTTTTTTAGATGAGTTGTGATTACTAAAATTTCATCGCGATTCAGTACTTTGACTTCTTCACAATCGATCGGCTTTTCCAAATTTTTAACCGAAACCTCCTCTCCGATTGGATCCTTTGCCCCAATTGTTAGCTCTTTGCAAGAACCGAAATCGATTTTATTCAGCAGAAAGCTGAGATCCTCAAGGTGAGTCTGGAAAATCATCCACTTTTTTACATTTTTGATTGCAGGCAAGAAATTGAGAACTTTGAGTGGTTTGCTCCTTGGTTTCCAAAAAGAATCTTGCCAATTAGTGAAGAGATCAGGCCAAGAAATTGAAAACAACGAACCACGGTTTAAGCCCACGATACTGATTTCTTGACAAAACCGAATTTTCTTGATGAAATAGATGAGAAGCTTGATGTCTCGCTTGATGTCCCGATCTCTGAAAATATTGTTGCGAAATATTGAGACGATACCTTTTTCTCAATGGTTCTCAGTTTAGAAAAGCTACCATCGCCCATTATATTCTAGCCAATAAAGAAATTCTCATCAATACGATTTCTTGAAAGCCTACTTGAATACGATTGAAAGCCTACTTGAATGTGTATTCGGTCCTTTGGGTTTTCAGGAAAATTCGAAGCTTTTCCGTGTAAAGCTCATTGTTTCCTTAACCCTGCGTCTTGAATGAAAATCACAAGTTCTCGCAAAGTCTTCGAAAATGGGCCATTCTGGAGGACGAATTGTCGGAGATCGTGGTTGATTTGTGGGAATTTCAGTAATTCTTTGGTATCCACAAATTCCACAACCATTTCTTTCAAGGCTTTCGGGAGGTGAGAGAACATTTCAACTGAAAATCGGACAATTAAGAAAAAATTTTCTGTACTTTGTGCTCAAAACGGCAACGTGTCCTTTCTGGTTATTATTATTCGGATGAGTATTATCATTTTCGATTAGTATTATTGGATTGAAATAAGAATTGAATGTGCCAAGAGCACAAAGTACTAACAAGCAATCGGATCTGCTGATCGACAAAGGTTGGGTAACTGAACCGGATTCCAAAAATAGGGTACAAAAGCTGATTTTCAAGAGAAAGTAAACACGATCACTACAGAAATTGTAGAATTAAGATCGGTAAAGGATTATTATGAGGAATTGAAAGTTTTCTGAAGTAAACAAGGAGTTAAAATGTGAAGAACTTTACTCAATAACAAGCAGAAAATCAAGAAATTCGATTTGTTGTTTGGGTCGAACTGATAAGAAAAATCTAACAAAGGTAAAATCGCGATTGATTGTGAAATTTTCTTGCAAAATTTTGCCTGGCTGAGAACATTTACAACCCAAAACCCTTCTAGTTGTAAAACGCTGAAAGTGGAAAGAAATTAAGTTGCATTTTAAAGTCAAGATTGTAAAAGAGTCATAAAGTTGATCGTTGGCCCTTATTTTTGTTAAACTTCCGATAATTCGACCATAAACCCATCCGCCACTCAATCTAATTGTTTTCAAACTTGTAAACTAGGAATCCACTAGCTATCCACTAGCCTAACGAGGCACGCATCCGGATCGAATGGAACAAGTAAGTTAGCTTGTTGCTGGGGTAATTAGCCGAAACTTTGAAGACTTTTTCCCACAGCCGATTCGAAACCATAGCGTTTCAATTTGTATATGTATTTTAGATAGAAACGCTTTGTTTGTAAGTTTATTTACATATGTTTACACGAAAGAGAACATCGGAATTTGAGTTTTTGTCTTTGTTTTCGAGTGTTTTCCCTTAACAACCCCAGTCGGCTCCCTGTGGTCCCCAGTTTTGACAGACAGCATAGGCGACGCGAGAGTTCTGAAGGCTTGCATTTGAAACATTCACAGAAGTCACAACACAAACCTCGTAGGTGCCATAATTGACCGAGCTTCCACTCGGAATCGTCATACACTTCACCACGGGCGCATCCGTGCTCCTTTTCGAGTAGCAGTAGTTCATTTCACCCCCGATTTGTTTTCCGCTCTGAAATCGACTCATTGTCTATCTGTTTGGTACAAAGCTAACAGTGCCAAACTATAAAGAATCAAGGGAGAAATTTTGAAAGACATATTGCTCAGCCTAATAGAAACTCACATCGTCATACAGGGTCACACCGACCACATCTTTCCCAGAACCGGTGCAATTGTATTGAATCTTCGAAGGGATGCAACCACTGCAAAACGTTGGCTTAAAGACGTAAAACTGAGGCTTAAAGCCTGGCTATTCTAAGGTTTTTACAAGATTTTTCTAGGACTCTGAGAAAGGAGGATTTCTCACGTTTGACCAGGCTGTGATTGAACGGTGAATGGTGCTGAGGGAGCTGTTGTTTTTGCGGCAGTACACTGACAATTGGGATCTGAAATGCACATTGTGAAAGCCGGCTCTCGGATCGAAACCCCTCACATGAGTCATAATAATAATCCAACGATGTGGTACATTTGTTGGCGGCTGTTATCGGGACGGGCGCGTAGATTCCTCGACTCTCGATGGTGGCAATATTGGCGCCTCGTTTGATCTGTGATCGGTTGAAATGAGAGCTTCGAGATTGAGCACTCACTCTGACATGTCCAGACTCGCCCCATGTTGGCCCCCACGAATTGCGGCACAGCCAGTAGTCGACTCCGTTCTCAGTGCCTTAAGCCATTGGCAATTCAAGGTTTTTCGAGTTTTGCTCAGCACCAACGCTTCGATTTCGACTATTTTGACTATTATTCGATGCAGAATGAAATTGTGCCTCGAATAATACAAAAATCAACTCAAAACATAAGGTTGTTGGCTAGAAACCTAGACCCCCGTTCATTATGGGCGAAACTTGACCACCTTTCGCCTCATAACTTTGCATGGGTGTTACATTTTGAGTCGATTTTGGTATCATTCGATACACAATTTCAATCTGAATCGAATCATTATCAAAATCGAAGAGTTGTTGCTGAGAAAAGTCTCAAATTGCCAACGGCAAAATGCGACTGATATATGTTTTCGTTTGAAATCTAGTGTGCAGACAATATTATTCCTAGAAATGCCACAGCTTTCAGGCACAGCTTTGAAGAGGACTTGAATTCGAGTGAATTTCCTTTTCAAGCCACTCACCATATCCAATCATAGTCATTGCGTGTCCTCCCTCGCTGTTTTGTTCATTGCATGAGGCGTTGTTGTAGATGCCAGACTTGTAGAAATTGAAGTCAGCACAGACGACCAGCGCTAAACAATCCAAATAAAGGGGCAGAAGATCGATTCCATACCGACAGCAACTGGGGAAATTGTGGCAATGTAGTTCATCGTTCCGGCCACATCGTTCGTGAAGTCCCATTGATCTTTGATTGGCTTGATTTGTGGCTGAAAACTCTTGATGCTCAGGGCAATGAGAAACCTTTAGTTAGTGGCAAAAGTAGGGCAGCAAACGAACACTGTAGGTGGTCTTGCAAACACCGGAGGTGGGTGGAGAGGTCGAGTCTGAGACATATGGAGCCGTTGACTGAAGGGTGATTCCATTCTTGATCACGTAGCTGAAAGAGATCGTAAAGAAAGATTTCCTGACACAAATCCCACTCAAGGCCAAAGTACGCCGAGCCACCCTTGCATCCGTTTCGTTGTTGACTTTGTGGAAGTGAGGCGTTGTTGTAGGTGCAATCGTTGACGAACTGAGAGACTTTTTGGGTCATTTCGTTGATCATTAATGCATAAGAACTGGAGTGCTCGACGCATAAAAGCAAGAAGCGGAAAATGAAATGAGAACTTGAGAAACGCCATTTGTCACCTGTTCGGAATAGGAGAGACGGGTCGTGTCATTGATCCGACAATTGACAAGATTATCGAGGATTTCGACGACGCCCGCTGTCCTGAAAGTCTTCTTGCTTGAGGACAACAAATTTGGGATACGCACGCAAAAGCCCAGCAATCTCCACATCCTCCCTGATTCTTGACCGCGTTCACTGCACCCGTCAAGCGCCAATCGTATGATGTGGGAATACTCTGAACTCAAGATCTTTCTTTCTTTTGCTCATTTGTGATAAAGGCTTGGGCTTGCGGTGAAATCGAGTTGTAAACTACGGGCTATACAGGGTCACAGAAAAGTATTGTCGCGTCTCTTTGAACTAACTTTTATGCGATTTAAAGTATCCTTTTACGTTGTGTAAAACATGAATTTTGTTCAGTTTTTTTTCCTCTTTAGAATGGTGCATAGCATTCAATGTGTATTTTTAGAAATGCAAGCTTGCCCTCATCGAGAAGCGACCGCTATGCTTTTGAAAACTGGAGGGTCGAAGGCGGCCATCTCGCGAAAGCTCAAAACCAACATCAGGACTATTCAACGACTTGCCAAACAATTGCAAGAAAAAGGACACGTCAAGAAGAAGCGAAAAAAGGAAGACCTCGATCGGTGAACACGCCAAACATCCGGAAGCTCATCAAACGGCGAATTGACCGAAACGACGAGCGAAGCTTAGGAAAATAGGCCAAGGAGCTGAAAATCTCGGATTGGTCGGTTCGGAACATTGTGAAAAAGGAGCTGGGACTTCGTAGTTATCGTCTGCGACAAGGCCAGTTTCTTACCGATGATGCGAAATTCGATCGAGTTCAAAAAGCTAAGCGGCTGCTTTGTTTTTTTAAGACGGCACGCATCGAGGACGTCTTGTGGTCAGATGAGAAAATTTTTACCATCGAAGTGGTCCACAATTCCCAAAACCATCGTCAACTGATGTCACCGGCCCAGAAGAACACTTTGAAGCGGAAAATCCGGACACGGGGTCTTTTTCCCAAAGGATTGATGATTTGGGGAGGAGTGACTGCGGATTCGGAGACTCAGCTTGTTTTCATCGACAAGAGTGTCAAAATCAATGCCCAGGTTTACCAAGATCAGATTCTCACGAATGCTGTGATCCCCTGGAGTCGAAAAACCCCTAACATGACCTTCCAGCAGGACCGGGCCCCGGCCCATGGAGTGAAAACCACAATGGACCTGATTCGGCGCGAATTGCCCTCTCATTTCACGAAAGAAGACTGGTCCAGCAACTCGCCGGATTTCAACCCTTTGGATTTTTCAGTATGGGGCTTCTTAGAAGAACGTTTGAGGCATAAGAAAATCGCAAATCTTGGTGAGCTCGCGAGGGAATTGATCGCTGCCTGGAAGGATATTGATGCCAACTACCTCCGTGCCACCGTCGGCTCAGTGATTACGCGTCTGAAAGCCTGTATCAAAGCCAAGGAGTCCAATTTCGAACACTTGTTATAAATTTGAATTTTTGGTTATTTATCTGTTATTTTTTTCAATAAATATGTTAAAAGCTCAAATTTGAAAAAAAGATATGATGGTTGGAAAAACGACAATACTTTGCTCGGACCCTGTAGTACATCTAGTAGAGCTGAAAAGGGCAAGTAAATGGGTAAGGCAAAAAAATACAAAAGAAAGCGATTCGACCATTTACTTGACACGTTAAAAAACTATCAACTACGCTCTTGAGTTTTTTGATAAAAGCGTTGAAAAATCCTTAGGACTATCTATTTTTCCAGTTTTCGAGTGCTCACAAAGCCCATACGTGGTTGATTTTAGGGTTATTTTTGAATGTCTCTGCAAGAAAAGGTGAACTGGCGATATCTATGGCTCAAAACAAGACAATTCCTTGTTAGAAGTGCAAAATTTTCTGATTTTTTCACAAAAGCTCTCTTCTAGTTGAAAAGACAAACCCGCTTCGATCGCTTCTTGATATCCGGCTTCTTTGCCTTGATTGGAAAGGGCTCGACAAAATCTTTCGGAATCAATCTCTAAAGGAATTTATCTATGTCGAGTTGAAGGTTTTTCCCACCGAGTTCAATTCCTCATCCGACAAATCCATCTCGGAATGCATTTGCACTTCAAAGCTGAAAGCAGGCAGAATTCCATGGAAACGACTGCTTTTCTCCTACCTCGAAACCTTTTTGATTTCGTTGAATTTCTTCAAGTTCTTCAAGAAGTTTCCCTTTCGTCCTCTGCAATCGACTCCATGGTGGCCACAGGATTTCTTGTTTCTGAAAATTATTCCATTTTAACCAATCACTAATTCTTTCTCTAACCGTCAAAAAATGACCATAGAACTATTGCTTAGCTTCCTGAAGAAATTCAGCACAAAAGAACGACTCACTCGGTGAGGAATTTATTGAAGATGTCGAATTCGTCGTTTGAAAGGATCCCATCGAGGTCTTTGATCTTCAACAGGATCGCCTCTAGGGAACAAAAAGTGATGAATAGAAGGATGAGAGGAGAGAGAAGCTTCATTTTTGATTTCCGGTTGACTTGTGCACTCTTGACTCCCCTTTTATATTGAGCTCACCAACCAAACACCAAACTGAGCTTCCCAAATGAACAATGTGAAAGCGCAATACACAAATTGTACGAGTTTCTGTTACAATGCTCAGCTTTTTTTTAGATAAATGAAACTTTTGCACGATTTCGTAAAGCTGACAATAAATCTCGATGATTTTTGTGGAATTTCAAAGCTAAACAAATCGAATCTACTTAAAAAAGACTTGACATTTGTACGATTTATATCGAATACAATGATTACTTTCATACACGAAACACAAATATTTCAATTCTCACTTGCTTTCCGTTTCCCTCACTTGCTTCAGCTTCATCGACGGTAAGCGTTAGGAGAAATCGCAAACATCACAAAAACAGAGAAAGTAGATTACTTTTCTCTTTTTGAACGAAATAAAGAACTTAAGATGTGATGTGCTCATTCAGCTGATGATTCACTCATCCGTTTTTGCTTTCTTTGGAATCACGCCCGGGCGACGATAAAAAAGAGTATGGAGATGATTGGTCACCGCCACATAAGACGCCACAATCTCTTCGGCCAGTTCACGTGAAGGCTTTCGAGGGTCTTCATTTAAGGCATTCGACAAAGCGTTATCATTCAGCTTGGATGCAGCCTTCTTTATCTTCAAAGAAATAATCGTCACTGCGTAACTTTTTAAATCACTGTTTTTTAATGATGGAATAGGTCTCGTTTTGAAAATTCACGTTAAGTTGACGACCTTTCCTAGTTAGTTTCCTCTCAAAAAAAGCTAAAAAGTTTAAGAAAGCTTGTCGACAAGGAAATCGAACTCGGACAGAAAAACTTTGAAGAAAAAACAAGAGCACTACCTCTCGGCCACAGGAGCATATTTTCAAGGGAAGCAAGGAAGCCTTACAAAGGGATAGCTAAAACTTTAAAGCTAAATTTCTTGCGATTGCAAGTTATTTAGGAAAAACTAAAAGCAAATTCGGAAAGCCCGTGAAAAACTGAATAAGATAGGATAGATCCGTTTTGAAATTTCACCTTAAGTTGACGACTTTCCCTAACTTCCCTAGTAAAAGTCAAAATAAAGCAACAAGTTGTGTTTGCATATACAGTGGTCCACAAAAGTAATGCCCCATTGCCATCCAACAGTATGTTTTGTAAGGAAATCTTGCAAAATCGATATTTCAGAAAAAGAGTAGGGTATTTTTATCTACCTATAAGACTCGACTTTTCAAGGATATAAGATTTATCCGTATACATTATATACAAATTAAAGTACAAAACAAAAACAATAAGCTACTTGAAAATTAGCTCCACAAAAGTAATGCCCCATTTGCAAAGAATTAACAAAATTTTTTTAAATCAATACTTGGTTGGTCCTCCTTTTGCTTTTATCACTTCATTGAGTCGATTCGGCATGGAATCCACGAGATTCTTCAAAAGACTTTGGGGAATGGTGGCCCAGAGACGTTGAATGTGAACCCATAAGGCAGCTTTCGAATCGAATTTCTTTCCCTTGAGTCGTGACTTCACAAGTGACCAGAGATGCTCGATAACATTGATATCCGGTGAGTAGGGAGGCGGATTGATCAATTTGACTCGACTTGCCGCAAACCAGCCCGGAAGTCGTGCTCGTGTACCATTTTGTACTGTACTGTGAACATTTGCATATATCTTGCAAATGTTTTTGTGTGCCCTATAAACTCAAATTAAATCGAAATCGAAATAATCTGCGACGGTCCGACCTTCTTGTTAATTCGTCTTAAGTTTCTTGTCAAATAATTTTAGAAAAGGTTTGGTAAATCTACAGATTCCTATTGACGTGCGATTTTAAGAGACTGGCGCAAAAGCGGCACGGCGCGTTTTCTAAAGCGTGGATGCGCACCGTACCTCGCACAAAAATTCTCCTTTTGCCATTCTTTTCATTTTGTTTCATTCCATGGTGAAATTTGTTCGGCTTTTATTCCGTCTTCCGGTAAGTTTCTTTCCCCTTCGTTAAATCTATTGTTTTTAGTGCGTTATTATGTTTTTTAAAGTACCCTCGTTCGTTCCCTCCTTTTTTTATTGTTTGCTCATAGTTTGTTGTTTAAAATTCTAATACGGTTATTTCGTTTTCTTTACTTTTCTTTACTTTTCTTTACTTTTCTTTACTGTTCTTTACTTTTCTTTACTGTTCTTTACTTTTCTTTACTTTTCTTTACTTTTCTTTACTTTTCTTTACTTTTCTTTACTGTTCTTTACTTTTCTTTACTGTCTTACTTTTCTTTACTTTTCTTTACTGTTCTACTGTTCTATTTCTTACTTCACTTTTCTTTACTGTTCTTTACTGTTCTTACTTTTCTACTTTTCTTTACTTTCTTACTTTTCTTTACTTTCTTTACTTTCTTTACTTTTCTTTACTTTTCTTTACTTTTCTTTACTGTTCTTTACTTTTCTTTACTGTTCTTTACTTTCTTTACTGTTCTTTACTTTTCTTTACTTTTCTTTACTGTTCTTTTCGGCTCCTTACACTCCATTGTTTTGAATCCGTTCACACATGCCGTATAAACTCAAATTAACCAATTCATTTTAACTAAAACGCAAATCGAAATAATTTGCCATGGTCCGATCTTCTTGTTAATTCGTCTTAAGTTTCGTGTCAAATAATTTTAGAAAAGGGTTGGTAAATCTAAAGGTTTTAGCTAAGGGAATTAGCTACTAACTCCACAAAGCTATTATTGCATAAACAATGACTTGTTTCATATTTGAATCACTTCTAAAAATGACAGAAAATTCCAATTCCGATTCTCCAAAAAGATGACTCAGAATCGCTCTCGTATCGATTAAATATCGTTTTTTTGGCAGAAATTCGATAGAATTCCCTTTTCCCATCTTTGGAAATACAGCTTTTCTTTTGCTTTCTTTCTCAACTTTTCTCCGCGAATCACTCGATATTTGCTTAAAGCACATGAGTCAGAAGAAAGAAAGAGACCCTCTCTTGTGGAAAAGGGGGAAAGCCCCGTTCCCACTTTTTGATAACACAGCTCTTCTTATGCTGGCTTTGTTTTTTTCGCTTAGAAATACGCTATATTATTGTTTTTGAATAGATTTCGATCATCATACTTCTTTTTAGGACCTTACTAGGGAAGTTAGGGAAAGTCGCCAACTTAAGGTGAAATTTCAAAACGCATTTCTCCTATCTTATTCAGTTTTTCACGGGCTTTCCGAATTGGTTTTTAGTTTTTTCTAAATAACTTGCAATTTAGAAATTTAGCTTTAAAGTTTTAGCTATTCCTTTGTAAGGCTTCCTTGCTTCTCTTGAAAATATGCCCCCGTGGCCGAGAGGTAGTGCCCTTGTTTTTTCTTCAAAGTTTTTCTGTTCGAGTTCGATTTCCTTGTCGACAAGATTTCTTAAACTTTTTAGCTTTTTTTTGAGCAATATCTGTTTTTTAGTGATAGAATAGGTCTCGTTTTGAAAATCCCCCTTAAGTTGACGACCTTTCCTAGCTAGTTTCCTAGTCATCATCATCATTTATTATTAGTCCCAACCAGGCTCGAAAATCTTGTTTTACTTAAAATACATGTATTTGAAGTTAAGTTTTACTTAAAATTCATGTATCCAGCTCTTTTGTCTGGCAATTTGCTAGCCGATTTCTATTCTTTTGGAATTTGAAGCTGGTTATATCTCTGTGAATAGATTTCATCATCATTTTTTAACCTCCAGGTCATGTTTTACTCATACACTTGTATTTAAATCACCCAGCTCTTTTGTCGGGCAAAATTTGCTTGATCCCGATCTCTGTAATTTGAAACTGATCATTTGGCTTGTTTTCAAATAGACTTCAGCCATTATACTCCTTCCTAGGTTTTGGTTATATTTTACTGATTGTATTTTGTGTGCAGTTTGTTTGCTTTGGTTTATAGCATATTGCAGCTTACTTTCAAATTGAAATTCAAAAAAAATTTCTCTTTGCATTGGATTATTTATTTCTTTAGACGTAGAACCTAAATCATCCTTGGTTCCCAAAGTTTTTACGAGCCTTTTTTTATGGCCGTTCGCCGGCACAAATGACCTTCCATCAATGTGATTCTTTGGCGTGAAAATATAGAATCTCCATGTCTTGTAAAAATAATAAGTTATATAATTAACAAAATTTGCATTTCATTTTAACTTTGAAGGCTTGGAAGGCTTGAAGTCACCAAGATTTCAACTCAAAGTTGACAAAGCTATGAGGGTGAATGATCTGAATCCTGGCAATTTCCTGACACTGAGATCTATCAGTTCTGGGAGCTAGTTGGAAAACTTTCAGGAATTCTTCTAGATTGTTTTTTTGGTGTGCTGCTTCTTCAAACAATGATGTTCAAGTAGAAATGGTACAAAAGGGGGTCTCCTCGAGACATGTATCGGGATGTATTTCTAAAAGAAAAAGAGAAACGAGGCTGGCTCTTGTCCTCTGTTCCTCTTTTCATCCCCACCCCGGTGTCCTCTATTTGCATGGGGTGTTCGGTGTGCCTTCTCTTCTTTCGACGGAATGGGGTGCCCCATCGATTGACCTGTGCCCTACCTGGGGTTCCCCGTCTACCTTTTTTGGTCATCAGCGTTGAGTGGCACCATTTCTCTTGGCTCTCCGGAGAATGACTACTATCTCTTTGTGCCTGCTAGATCTGTACTCTCCTCACCTCCATCACCGTTCATCTGGGTCTAGGATAACTGACCTGGGATTACTATTTGTTCTCCACCCTTTCTATCATCTCTCCTACCCTTGTACCTTTTCTATAACCTGCCTAACTTTCTATCTCTATCGTCTATCGTCTATCCAGCCTTCACCTGCTTACATTTTCTCATATCTCTATCACCCACCTATCTACTATATCTTCGACAATTCTTTCTCTATCTATCTATTCATTTATTCATTCTTTACCTTTCTCTTTACCATCCTAATGACTTGTCCCTCTGATCTCTCCTCATTTCCCTCATCGATCATCTCCTCACCTTGATCCCCTCTCCAAAGGTCTCTTTTAGGGGCACCCATTTGGTTATCCATTATTTCGCCTCTTTGTCCAATCTGTTCTCTGAGAAACTTGATCTATTCGGTGGTACAAACATGAGCACACACCCCTCCACCCAGCCGCTCACTGTTGCCAGACTCACAGAACTTTTTAATCCTATAGATTTGTATATTATTTGATTTCTGAATTTGTTTTATAACCGATTTGATTTATTTTTCGAATTTCAATATCTTCTATTCTAACCAGAGCTGTACTTTCTAGACAAGAAAAGCACGATTTTCAACTTTTCAACTTCACAACTTTTCACATCAAAACTTAGCCCTTATTTGCCAAGGCATGGTACAAAAAGCTTTCAGGATAATTCGTTTTAACTCAAACAGTCAACTATTGCAAATATCAGTTGTCTATTGCGATTTCAAAATGAAAGAAATTTCCCTTGGCGCCATTGCTTTTCGGTCAGCGATCTAACCTTTTTCTTCCGAAAATCATTCAAGCCAAACATCAGCCACGCAACTGAATATCCTTTCTTTTGCTTGGTAAAATTGATGCCACTTTGTTTCCTTTCGCTTAGCTGACAAAAATGGCTGAGAGTTGCTACCATCAGCATTTCTCGCATTTTTCAAACTTTTCTTCAAAAAGAAATTTTCGCTAACAATCAGATTCCAGATCGACTATCAAATTCAAATTTTCTTTTATCTTCGAATGGTGCTCAGATAAACGTACGAAATGAAACTTCTATTGCTTCTCGCTCTTTTCGTCCTTTTTCGGATATCAAACCCGCAGGGACAGGTATCTTTTGAGGGCTTTAAGATCTTCAAAAAATCAAAAAAGCAATTAAATTCAATTACTTAAAAGTTTATTAATCAAAAAAAATGGTACTATCCGGTTGTTTAACTGATCATTTACAGACGATCAGTTAAACACGTGAAAAACGTGCTCGGCGGCTCGTGTGCTTAAAATCTCTTATTAGGCACTTGGTTCAGAGCCAAAAAGAGCAAAAAAATAAGCAAATAAGCAAAAAATTAATCTGTAGAACTGTTAAAACGATAATCAGCCTGAATTATACAATTATTCAATATTTCAAATTTTAGCCAGCCGATCGTGGAGCGAAGATCGCGTTGGGCGCCGTGAAAAACGTGCTCGGCGGCTCGTATGCTCAAAATGTGACATTGTACTTTCGGAATTCACCCTATAGGTTTGCCATTGAAGAACTTTTTATGAATTTTTATGAACTCAAAGACAATATCATCAAAAAAATGTTTTCAGAATCGAAAAAGATTTGATCGTGGAAAAGGGAGTGACGCTGACAATCGAAACGGGCACACAATTGCTTTTTGACACGGGCGCCGGGCTGATTGTGCACGGGACGATTAGAGCTATTGTGAGTTTAGTTTCAATTCTTTAAGTTTTATTGAGTCCTTTTAATTACACAAAGTCTGTTTGACTCAAAATTTATAAGAAAAAAATTTGAGTGGGCAAAAGTTTCGATGTCATTCAGTCTATGCTGTAAATTGTTTACCATTCAACTTTTTTTTCTTTGTCATAGTTAAAGTTTTGAGTAATTTAAATAAAAGATATTAGATTATAGTATTTATTAGCATGATACTTTCCAGGGAAATGAATTCGCGCACATTCAAATGCTGCCCTATAATCAAAACTTCGATGACGAGTTCGTCGTGCCCCGATTTCGACTAATCGATGGGCCAACCGTTAAACAAGTAAATACAATAGACAAATCTAATGCCTAAGAATATAGTTTTTTCTTGATTTTAGATAGATTTTTGATAGATTTTTGATAGTTTTTTGATTTTAGATAGGTTTATACAGAATGTTCAGTATTTACGGTGACTTCTTCTTTAGATTAGCTCCCAAATCCCAAGCTCAACCTTAATCTGTTAAGTTTCATATAAAATATTGAAGCCCTTAATCTTGGCTACATTTATCTACAAAAAACTTTCCAATCGGATGTATACAGCTCATTTTATAAGCCTATTTTATATTTACAATGACTTCTTTAGATTAGCTCCCAAATGCCAAGCTCAACCCTAATCTGTTAAGTTTTATATAAAATATTGAAGCCCTTAATCATGGCTAAATTTATCTCATAAAAGTTTCTCGATTAAAAATATCCAACTCATTTTTACAAGCTCTTGAATGAGTACTAGTTGATTCTTCTCCGGCACGCTGCCATTTTTGGCGAAGGGCTTGTAAAATGAGCTGTATACATCCGATTGGAAAGCTTTTCGTAGATAAATGTAGCCAAGATTAAGAGCTTCAATATTTTATATAAAACTTAACAGATTAGGGTTGAGCTTGGCGCTTGGAAGCTAATCTAAAGAAGAAGTCGCCATAAATACTGAACACCATGTACAGGGTGATCAAAAAGTTCTCTCACACTTTAAAAAAGAAGCATTTCTCAGCGAAAACCTAGATCAAAATTTGACTTACTATATAGTATTTCTAAAGCTGAAATTCTGGAGAGCATTTCTATACCTAAACCATTTTAATCAGAGCCACCTAACTCTCCAAAGAAGCATAGTGCGCTTGAGGCAAACTGTCATCACCTATTTGAATTTGTTTTCAATTGAAAAATCCTTCAAAAAGCCTTTTTAAATGTACACTTTTATTTTCAGTAACAGATTTTTTAAGGGAGATTTAAAACTTCAATCCAAAACTTCAATTCAAAACTTCAATCCAAAATTTCCAGGGTCGCCTCCAAGTACAGTTCCGTGATCGATGGCGAAGCGTTTGCACTCAGCTAACCAAGTTTGTTTTAGTGATTTAAAAAGAAATAAAAAGTGATTTCTAGCCTAAAATTTTCATTAAGACATAAATCTAAATCTAGTAGCATTATTATATAAATATATGCATTTTCCAGTTGGACAAGTGTCGACTTCACAGTCGCTTGTAAATCGATGGGATACGGGGATGGTGGTGAGTGGAAATCTCTCTAAAGAAAAAATTGAGATCTAATCCTTAGATTTCTCTTTTATCTAATGTTTGATTTATGTCTTAATGAAAATTTTAGGCTTCTGGAAATGGTTTCGAAGAAACAATGACACTTTTCCGGCGGTGGTGCCCCGGCCTGATTGTCCGCCAATGTCCACCGATCTTTTTGATTGTCCTGGGTATGAGAAATTATGAGAAAAAATCTCTTTTTTCAATCAAATTTCGATTTAAGTACACTACTGGACAATGAAATATGATATTAGGTTGATGCATAAGTCTTTTCGTTTTTTTCGTACTTCTGTTAAAAAGTAACAAATTCACCAATTAATCTATAGTTTGCTCTATAAAAAAAGTGTTTTTTTTGTTCAATTTGCATCTTTTTAAATGAATTTCGGTTCACTTTCAAGCAAATTCGAGAGTGAAAAACGCCTTTTTCGTAAAAATCTATAAAAAACTCTACGGAAAAATTGGCTGAATGAATTTCTCTGAAATTTTGGCGAAATATCAAACTTTTTTCTCTATCTTTTTATCTATTGACACGAAGATAGGTTTTCTTTTAGCTAAGGTGTCTAAAACCGCATCATCGAGTTAGCCCTTTTTGACTACCCGACTTCATACTCTCAAGAAAATCCAGGCATTAAATATTTTTAAACCCGTTTTAATGTTATTTTGCAGAAAAATAATTGGTTTTTCTAATGAAATCAACCGTAGTTTAATTGGTGCATTTGTTGGCTTGAAACGACAGACGAAAAGGAACGAAAAGACTTATGCATCAACCTAATATTTGAAAAAAGATCGTCGCTTTCGCGCGTCTGTAACTCCCTTGTCTTTACCGTATTTCTAAATATTAATATTACCATTGTGTAGCGCTTGAAAAGAGCTTTCAGAAAATGTAAAACACTAATTGCTTCAACTCAAAGACAAGTGAGTTACAGACGCGCGAAAGTGACGATCTTTTTTCAAATATCATATTTCATTGTCCAGTACTGTACATTCTATTCAATTTTCTATTCAAAAATCAAAATCAAAATCAAAATCTTCAGTCTCGCTGACGAGAATCGAATCGCAATGTCGGAGAATTTATGTCAAGGAGAGGATGATATCGGAATCGTTTGCTGGGGTCCGCCAACTTTTTCTGGATGGTCTAGACATTGGAAAGGTTTGTGAATGGGAAAAGCTGAAGTAGAGTAGCTGAAAATTATTCTTGTAACCAATTGGTTCTTAAACTTTCTTACTTACATATTACAGGCTTCAATCCAAAATTTCCAATGAAATTCCAGGCCTTCAAATCTACAATTCCCCGTTTGGGTATGTAAACGCCGATCCCGATGGAGTGGCCGTGCAAAGAGAATCAGCGAGTAGACTAGAATTTATCGATATTCTTTTTGCGGGTTATGATGGACGCTCAAAAAACGCTACTCCTGCACTATATATTGAAGGAGTTCCACCATTGATCAATGGTAAGTGAAAATTTTGGCAATTTCTTGTTATCTAAATAGTGGATAATCGTGGATGTACATGTAAACATGTAAGATTTTAAAAATGGGAAAGAAGGACCAATGCGGGATTGAACCCTCGACCTTCTGACTGAGATACGAGGCTCTTAACCAGTCTGCCATGACGGATTGCCGGCGTGCGGATCAGAAGCTGACTATGAACTTCAGGTCTCCGAATAGAGCGAAGTGCCCGTGACGGGGTGTACTTTTATCAACCGAGCGGTCCGATTCTCATCGCCAACTCAACTTTTTCGTTTAATCGAGGTCATGGGATTGCAATTGATAATACAACAGGTTAGCTAGCACTTTTTTGCAAATTTTTAGACCCTTAGTAAGCAGATTGGTTAGTAAGCAAGGCTTTATAGGACTTTATCAACACAAGCACAGAAAATCGATCAAACTCAGCTTTAGGGAAAGATAAGCACTGGCTAAAGCTAAAAAGCTTAGGCTTAGACTTGGCTTAGTCTTAGGCTTGGGCTTAGCTTAGGCTTAGCTCAGGCTTAGCTTAGGCTTAGGCTTAGCTTAGGCTTAGGGTTAGGCTTAGGCTTAGCTTAGGCTTAGCTCAGGCTTGGCTTAGGCTTAGGCTTAGGGTTAGGTTTAGGCTTAGGCTTAGGGTTAGGCTTAGCTTAGGTTTAGTCTTAGGGTTAGGCTCAGGCTTAGCTTAGGCTTAGCTCAGGCTTAGCTCAGGCTAAAAAAAATCTCTTAGCTAAAAATCAATGCTAGCAATAGAATACAATAGATCAATAGAAAATAGATCTATTTAAGAACTCATTGACTCTAGAAATAGAATGAAAAGATTGATTTGCAGACGGTCGAGCTTTTATTAACTACACTCGAATCGAGGGGAATCTCGGTGACGGGATTTGGTATCGTCAAGAAGGACAAGGAAGCATTGATGTCGATTTGATTGATCGGATTGAAAGAAGTGAGATTTGCGAATGGAAATTCATTTATATCAGCAAATCGTATACAAATCATATGCGTATACAAATAAACTTAAATACGTTAAACGTTAAATACAAATAAACTTAAATACGTACAAATCTACGCGCTCGTATGCAACTTTCACCATTTTATTGCAAAAGTGCTCAGCGTTTAACGTATTTAAGTTGATTTTTTTGGGATACTCTAAGGAAATCTGGACTTTACGTACTGTAAATTTTGAATATAGCACTTGTTTTAACGATAAAACGATTTAGGATTTAACAACGATTTAGGGAACAAGCGCCAGATGCAAATCACTGACTCACTCTACCAAATCGAAGCGCCACAAGTCGAGATTTGCGAGGTCAGGGATTTCGATCAAATATTTTTCTCTATAAAACTCTTTAGTGATAAATGTCTAGAATAGAATTTGTATTTTATAAAATATGATTTTTATTTTATAGAATGATAATGATTTGATCTGTCTTCGCACTTAGCGCAGATCACAACCTGCTTCCACATTTACTGGAGCAGAAGTGTAGTTGTTGAGATTTTATAGAATATCATATCGTATTTATAAGTTTTTCAGAATCACTCAGCTCCATCCGAGCATTATTTCCCATACTTGCTGCGAGCGTTGCTGAAGAACGGATCCTACATCGATCCTCTTCTCCCGTCTCCCTGCTGGATTGTAAAATTTGTTTTTTATTAAGAAAACTCTAAGATAGAATCTAACATAGATAGAATTTTATAGAATAATAATATTTAGGGAATCTCCCTTCCACCCCAACTGCCCTACACGTACTCCCTGCAATTCTTGAACATTCGAAATCGAAACATGCCCGATTCGGAGACTTATTTGGTGAGAAAAACTTGTTTCTATTGAAATTCAAATATTTATTACGTATTATATATGTTGGGTTCGATTTAGATTTCCGTCCGATTTAGATTCAATCTAAATCTTATATAGATTGAACAATAATACGTCTTATATATTAGGTTGGCAACTTAATAATGACGCGTCACTACTTAACATGTTTTTTGTAATTTCAAGCACCGTTTCTTCCCTCTTTTTGCATATATACAAAGTAAAAGATGTCTGCAAAATAACATTTAGTGCCCGAATTTCACATTCGCTTTTGGCAAAAAATGGAGGACAAAAAAATTCCGTATTCGAGCTGTATTGTTCTACGATTTTTAACAAGGAAAATCACCAGCTGAATCTCATCGCACGATCATCACTGTTTTTGGAGAGAAAAGTATAAACATTGGGCAATGTCAACGATGGTTTCAAAGATTCCAAGGCGGCGATGAAAGCCTCGTAGACGAGCCACACCAAGGACATCCTCCAGAAGTGGTCGATGATGACTTGCTCGCCTTAATTGAAGATTGCCCAACACTCACGGTTCGTGAGTTGGCAGAAATATTTTAAGTATCCCATACGACAATCGAAAACTATTTATACAAACTTGGGAAAAGAATCGTATTGGAAAATGAGTTCCTCACGAATTGACCCAAAGCAACAAAATGGCCCGTGTCAATGTCGCCTCAATTTTGCTACAAAAATGTAAATCAAACGACTTTTTCACAGGGTTTTGACTTCTGACGAAACGTGGATCAACTACGAGAACGCAAACGCAAAAACAAGGCACTGCTGGGCAGACCCCTTAAACCACTCCCAAACCTGATATCCATGGGAAGAAGATAATGCTCTGTTGCTGGTGGAACTTCAAGGGATTGGTGCATTATGAAGTGCTGAAACCTGGCCAAATCGTCGATGCTGATCTTTATTCAAAGAATAATGAGAGTTAACGAGCTTTGAAGAAATTGGGGCTCAAACCGGAGAGAGTCAGATTTTTACACGACAACGCAAAACTCACACTGCAAAGATCACTTAAAGAAAATCGAGGAACTTGGCTGGAAAGTTTTGCCCCACGCGCCTTATTCACCTGATCTGGCTCCTTCAGATTACTTTTTGTTTCGGTCGCTGAAGCACTTTTTGGAGGGAGGAAAGATCGATGATCATGCTCGGATCATAAAAGCAGTGAATGACTACTTCGCCTCAAAAACTCCCAAGTTCTTCGAGGATGGGATCCGGGATTTGCGCAGAAGATGGGAAGAAGTCATAGATACTAATGGAGAATACCTTTCGAATTGAAAGCTCTTCTTTTGTGTTTTTTTTAAATAAATGATTTGTTACATAAACGCGTCATTATTAAGTTGCCAACCTAATAGATTGAACAATAATATAAACATGCTTAATAATATAAACATGTTCTTAAGCGTTTTCTGTAGTTTTCTGCATTTTTCAAAGGTCTGTTACTGTCTTTTTCTGAAAAGAAAACCCAACTATGAAATCAACTATTGTTCAATCTATATAAGATTTAGATTGAATCTAAATCGGACGTCCGCTATAGACTGTAATCTAAATCGGACACAACATATATACTAGTAATCTCAAATATTACACTATTTCTTACTAAATTTCTTTCAGAGAGTCTGTGAATCCCATCTCCCGAACACGGGGAATTGTGCGCTTGAGTTATCGAAGATACCCATTTTGAATGCTCGTCTACCACAGTCAATTTCGATTCGGTGAGGAGAATTTGTGTATTTATGAACTCTAACCCACTTAGATAGGTATTTGATAGGTATTTGATTTTCGGTTGAAACTGATTAGGAAAGAGTCACATGTAGTTTTGGTCTAAGTTTTGGTCGGACTCAATCGATCAATCGATCAATCAATCGATCAATCGATCAATCAATCAATCAACGATCGATCACAATCAATCGATCGATCAATCAATCGATCGATCAATCAATCGATCGATCAATGGATCAATCGATCAATGGATCAATCGATCAATCGAGCTATTTAGCTTGTAAACCAGATCAACATGGTTGTTCCAAAGACATTTTTAGCTAGACCTAGCTATAGCTAGCTATTTTTAGCTCCAAAGCTAGACCAGGCTTGGTCTCACCTCTGGATCTAGGCTTTGAATGCCTGATCTGATTTACAGACTTGTGCAAACCAAAGCCCGATCAAGTCCAAAGCCTGGCTTCTGACGTCTGACAAATTTGAGCAAGTGCTTGGAATAAAGCTAGCTAATAAAGCTAATAAAGCTAATCAAATTGCTTTTGCCAAATTGCTATCCGTTTACAAGTGCCTAATTTCTCTCCTTTCCACAGATCCTCCGGTCGTCCAATCATTCTCTCATTGCACCACAAATTCTCAAGCGATCTGCCGGGCTATGTTCTTTCCGATGTGGATGTGATCTTTCGAGTGCACGCATCTGTTATGGGTTTAAAAACAAGGAAAAACTGTTACAGTTAAACTCTTTTAGATAAAGCATATTATGGTTTGAATGTCACTCATTCGATTATCCATCAAAATCTCGGCAATGGGATCGAGGCGTGGGATGTACGAGATCGAACGGCGCTCACGAATGTGACTATTACTGAAAATCAGGTAGAGATATTCTATATATAAAAATATAGTATAAGTACTTATATATAATAGAATAGTAATAGAATAGAATAGAATAGAATATAAAGATAATACAAATATAAGATAATAAAGTAACAATTAAATCCAGGGTCTGTCCAGGGAAATCCAGGGAGCTAAGCTTTCCATTAGAACTCGGTGAAAACTACAGAACACTTCAAATTCAGTTTTAGACTACAGTAAACCCACCGTACTTAATAGCTTAATATTCAAAGCTTAATAATGTAATTAGGCTAGGTATCAAAAGACGGGCCGACAGATAGTCTTGGTGCTGTCAGGAGCGCGCTTGTCTACGGCCCACGCGATCCCGATTCGATCCCCGTAGTGCCACTCAATTTTGACTTTTCTTATTTTTTATTTTAAATCGCATAACTATATTAGATTTTAAGATTATTAGTATTATTAGTGTTATTAGTTTGTTTAAAAACTCATAGTAATCTTCTAGGGTCTGGCTGGTTTCCTCGTTCGAGACGGAGCGGCTGACATTTGGATTAATGAGACAAGAATCGATCGAAATTGGGGTGATGGGTTGAATGTTTCGTATGCTGGCGGATCGATTACTGTCAATGGGACAAGTATTCGGGGAAATCGGTGGAGAGGTTGGAAAATGCGAAATCGTAAATGGATTGAAAAGGAAAAGACTGAGCTGAATGCTTTGCAATGTTTCCAGCTTTCAGCTTTCCAATGTATTCAAATTTCCGACTTTCAAGAGTCCAAATTCCTCTTCATTTTCAGTATCCAGATTTGTTTAGGCTATAGAAAAATGTTTTACAGTTCGAATAGAAATACTTTCAATTCTAGGAGCCGCGTTTCACTTCAATGAATCTTCCCCTTTCATCGCCATGCATCAAGAGATCGTTTTCAAGGTACGACCAGGCAAAAAAAGGCTCAAACTTTTGTTTAAATAGAAGTGAAATAAGCATTCTTGAGCTTCTTTCATAAATTTTAATCTTCCAGGGTCGACCAGCCAACAATATGTTCTACATGCCGACGATAGTCAGCGAGAATCTCTGGGGAGGGATTCTAGTCGGCAACTTTTGCTTTACAGAATCGCGAAGGATTGAACCAAAAGTATAATACTTAAAAAGTTTATTAGTTTATTAGTTTATCAGTTTATTAGTCTATCAGTCTATTAGTTTATTAGTTTATTTGTTTATTAGTTTATTAGTCTATTAGTTTCTTAGTTTCTTAGTTTATTAGTTTATTAGTTTATTACTTTATCAATTTATTAGTTTTTTAGTTTTTTAGTTTATTAGTTTATTTGTTTATTAGTTTATTAGTTTATCAGTCTATTAAAGTTACAACTTAAAGAGCTACAGTTATTTAACATTCCTGAAACAAAAATATATGTATGTTGAGATTGGGTTGGAAAAGATATTGTTCTGCTAGGCATTATTGAAGAAACGAAAACAACTATTTTTTCAGGTGTTAATCAGTTGGGTGGAGATGCAGAGAAATCTCTACCATCCGGCGCTCGAGATCTTTTCGTGTCAATTCAATGGAGCTTCGAGAACGATTATTGATATCACTGGAAACAGGATTGAACGTGAGTTTTTACATGTATCTAAACCGGTTAGTAATCATGAATCATAATCAAAAAATCTTCTTTTATGTTGCTTTTCTATCTGACAATTCTATCTGACACTTTTTTTGCAAAAATAAAGATCGGATTCAGATTCTCTGCCCCTGAAAAGTCTGGGATGTAAAATTTCATGGCTCTTATCATATTTTTAATTTCTTTTTTCTTCAAAATAGTTTTTTACCAATAAGCTTACCGTAAATACTGTAATAGTACCCCACCCCCATAATGACGGTGCGGAGTGTTGCGTAGTCTAGCTTTGAACGAGTTTTTCTCGACCCTGGTTTATGTTACAATGCGCGCTTAGGTATCAAAAAATAGCTGAAATTCAGGGTTATTTTTTGATACCTAGCGCATGTAGCAAACCAGTGTCGAAACGCGAGATACAACACTCCGTCATTATCTTTGGCATCAAAAAAATAGCCCTGGATTTCAGCTATTTTTTGATACCAAATACGCATTTTTTGAAAGTACGGGTGCTTTGAAAAAAATGAAATACTAAAAAACTTTTGCGACTATGCGACTGTACGAGGCGGGGTGGGATACTATTACAGTATTTAGGGTAGGTATTTCTTTATCTTTCTTCCTCTTCTCTTTCTTCCTCTTTTCTTTTCTCTTTCTTCTCTGGCAAAAAATACTGAATAGCTCAGTGGTTAGAGCATCTGCAAAGTAAAAGGTCGACGGTTCAATCCCCTCTTCAGAAATCTTTCTTTACCTTTCTTTCTTACTTTACTTTATTATCGATCGATAAGTATCTTATATGTCGTAGCCGATGAAGGATTTCAGCCAAAGAAGTCTCAGACTTCTTCGGCTAGCCGATTAAGTCTCAAAAATGAAATCTTGAGTTATGTATTGACTCAATTTCAACGAGAGATGCCAGGTGGATTTAATCGATCTTCAATCCGTTCCCGATGGAGAATTCAAGTTTTTGATGGTCTACCAGGATCATTTCAAAAAATCGAAAAAAGTCGAAAAATGCAACTTGCAATGAAAAATGCAAAATGTAACTGCAACTAGAATGCGTTCTTAGCTTTTAAGCGCCTTTTGGAGAGCTTGAGTTTGTGGTATTGACTTGAGTCAATACATAACTCAATATTTCATTTTTGAGACTTAATCGGCTAGCCGAAGAAGTCTGAGACTTCTTTGGCTGAAATCCTTCATCGGCTACGACATATAAATCACTATCGAATATCGATAAACCCATCGAAATCTCAATAGAAAAGTCGAATCATGATGATCTTGTTCAGGAAATGGCGGAATGGGTCTCCGAATCTTGCCCCATGTCAACATGCACACAATCATCGCCAGCAATCTCTTCATGTTCAACAACGACACAGCGTTGCTTATCAAAAACTCGGCTCACCCGCAACTCTCAAATCTATATGCAAATGTAATTGGATCAAGATCATAGAATAAAGCCTCAGCGTGCAAGGCTAACCTTCTTGAATAGCCATCAACCTTCTTGAGCTCGTTGATCGATCAAATTTTAGGCAAACATCTCGAAGAACGCTTTCAAATTCAATCAAGGACAATATATTGTGAATATCGGGTTGAATGAAGATGCGCCAAATCAACGAATGATGTTCAATCAACAGAATGAGATTCGTGAGAATCGGGTTTTCAATCCGTTTCCCCATCTACCGCCTCGGTCTACTCCCTATGCGGCGGTGGTCGTGTCGAGCAGGTGAATTCTTTTTTAATAGTTTTAACAGGTTAAACGTGCTCTAATTATTTTAGTAATCAATTTGTTTTTTCAGTAACGTTGTCTTGCATCGAAATTGCTTCAAAAACCCGGCGGCCGAGTTTGAGATTGGGACGGAGTTGAGCGAGCACGCGAAAGTGATCAACGCGACTGAGAACAACTGGGGAACCCCGTCGGCACCGCAATTTCTTCGGAAAATCTTTGATCAGGTATTTTAAGATCAATTTCTAGTATTTGTAGCCGTTTTATTGGCTATAGTTTAGTTAGTTTATCCTTTGGAAACATCGTTGCTTTCAGTTCTACCGTTACTCCTTGGCCTCAATCGAAATCGATCCCTACTCAAGTGTTTGCAATCAACGATCCCCACATATGACTCGATTGCAAGAGCATATACGGTAGCTTCTTCAACTGTGGCTCTTTATATTGTAAATATTTTTAGTCACTTTCAAACAAGCGCTAAACCATTCAAAATCGGGGGCACCGTCTACGAAAATCATGATTTGCCACTGGGAAGGTACTCATTAATAGCTTAGAATCATTTAATAGTTTAGATTTGGAATCTAAAGCAAAATTTAGATACACTGTCACAGATGATCTTCATATTACACCAGGTGCTAGACTTGGCATCGCCTCTGGTAGCAGTTTCGAGTTCGCGCCAGGCGTCGGTGTCTTAGTTGAGGTAATCATAAATCACTAACGATCACTAATCATTCACTCTAATCATTGACGATAAACATTTCATTTCAGTTTTTATTTTTTAGGGTGAAATGCTCGTCGCCGAGGATTACAACTCGGCTACTTTTGGCTCAAATCAGCGAGTCGTTTTCACGGCAGCACCCTTCGAGTTGCAAATGAATGACAAAGTGAGATTGATTGATGAAGATGGAAGTGATCAGACGACAGAGGGACGATTAGAGGTAAAAATTGAAATCAAAAAGGATTCTGCTGTAGAAATTGAGTAACTTTTAAACACTGCAACTATCTGTCATTTCCATTATTTTTAGGTTTTCGTGGACGGTGAATGGGGCACGGTTTGCAATCGTTCGTGGACAGCTCATCACGCGCTCACCGTTTGCAATCAACTCGGCTTGGTGATGGATCCGGAATACTTTGAGAATTGGCGAATCTTCCCGTCGGCTGGCGATCTGCCAATGCTGATGGACAATATTCGATGCGAGGAGAATGAGGTGATTTAAAAGTGATTTAGAAGTGTTAACCGAGCTGTTTCTGTGGATTTTAGCAAATCAAGCAGAACAAACAAACAAAGAAACAAACAAAGAAACAAATAAACAAACAAACAAATAAACAAAACCAAACAAAACCAAACAACTTTTTATAGGTTGATATCACTCGTTGTCGTTTCGACGGTCAGCGACATAATGTTGGAGCCGGGTGTCGAAAGAGCGAAGTTGTCGGTGAGCTATTTATTGCCTGACTCATAATCCCTGTAAAACTGAGCTTGAACTGTGGACGTTGAACGGAAAATATTAGCGCACAAGATAGATTTGAGAAAATTCTCGGACTCAGTTCCTCGTTTGTTTCCTCGTTTCCAAGTCGTAAACCGTTTTTAGAAAAGTTAATTTCACAACAGTTGAAACAAGAAAACAAGAAAACGAAGGCAGAATTAGCTTTGGCATGAATTTTCTCATGTCTAGCCATTCCTTACCTCGTTCCCATTCCCAGGTATTCGCTGTGTTCCCCCGCGTTGGGCCGGTGTTCGCTATTCGTTGTTGGCCAATCCGTACACTGTCACCGGACAACCGACGATGAGCAATTGGCTGATTGAAAAAGGTATTCTGTTGAGTGTTTAGAAGATGATAATTTCAATATTCTTTAAATTTCTTAATAACTTTCGAATCCTTTCAGCCGGTCTCTTTGACTTCCGCACACCACAATTCGCGGCCGCTTTGCAAATCGATTGGAATTATCACACGTTCAACAATTTGGAGATCAGGTTTGCTATAATTATGCTTTAAAAGGTTTGCTATAATTATGCTTTAAAAGGTTTGCTATAATTATGCTTTCTTTCAGCAATAATTTCTGGAATGGTATTGACGTCGTTTACAATGATTTGATGAAAAAGCCGACGATTCGAAACGCGGTGATCAGAAATAATCGAAGGCACGGCATTCGGCTGAGATCCAATGGGATAACGATAGAAAATGTTCGTTTTAAAAGACAATTTCAGTAGCAATTAATCAATTTTAGGTGACAATCACGGGATCGGGCTTTGCCGGGATTCACTACAACTCTAAAGTCTCAATGGGACTGCAAAGGGATATCGTCTCGTGGTTGGACCCGAACGAGCAACCGGATCAAGAGGTGAGCCACAAATTTCTCATTCTCATAGAAATAGAATTAAAAAGAATTAGCGCTTCGAAAGATTAGAATTCGTTTTGTAAATGAATATTCAGGCGAACAACATCTTTGCTATTCCTTCATCGCAAATTGATCGTTTGGAAGTGATGGCGTCGAGTCAAGAGCAGCGGAAATTCCTGGTCGCCGTGCCAACGAATGATTGTCCGTTAGGTAACTTAAAGTTTAGCAAACGGCCGTCATGGCCGTCATAGCCGAATGGTTAGGAGTCTTGATTAGAAGTCTTTTATCTTAGTCGAAAGGTCACGGGGTTTCGTTCCCAGCTAGAAAATTTGGCTCTTTTTCCATATACTAGGTTTTTCTCTGTAACATATTTAAGGTTGTGTGTTAAATTGGATTTGTTTGTGTCACATTATGCAACATCTTTAGGCGAATTAGAACATCTTTAGGGGTATTAGAACATCTTTAGGCGTATTAGAACATCTTTAGGAGTATTAGAACATCTTTAGGGGTATTAGAACATCTTTAGGGGTATTAGAACATCTTTAGGCGTATTAGAACATCTTTAGGCGTATTAGAACATCTTTAGGCGTATTAGAACATCTTTAGGCGTATTAGAACATCTTTAGGAGTATTAGAACATCTTTAGGGGTATTAGAACATCTTTAGGCGAATTAGAACATCTTTAGAAGTATTATTCATGTTGAATAAATGTATACTTTTAAACATTTCAAAAGAAATAAGTTCAGTGACTTATGAGGAGTGCGCACACGAGATTATGTTGACTGCGTCTGGTTTTGAGTACGGCTTGAGCGCTCGTTTAGCAATTCAGGTGAGTTTTTGATGCTATAGATGCTATAGGTGACGATTTTTAAGCCTTTGAAACATTCTAAGTTTCAAAAATTGATTCAGATCGTGAATCCAGCAAGCAACGCGAGTGACGAAGATGCGCTGATCACTGATCCGATCACGAACAAAGTCTATTCGGTGAGTGGTTTAAAATGGCAGTAAGATCTTGATCCTTTTTTTTACTGTAAACTATATAAGGCTAAAAAAAGCTACAGTAATCCAGTGACACTTTTTTAGGTCCGAAAGAACCAAATCGAGTTCCCAATCACTTCGCGCGGGAATCAAATGCGTTTACGGTATACGCGGAGTCACGGAATGCCGAAAATGGTGCTTCTCGTGCTCTTCCTCGATTGTGAGTTGAAAAAAAAGCAAATAGATATCATTTAGCTAGAATAACAGATAAAGCAAAAATGATAAGAAAGAATTTTACAGCTCAAGAATACCTGGATCGTTTTGTGCATGTGCACGACTCACGAATCGACAACAACCAGTACGCGATCTCGTCCACCCATTACAAGTGATTTTTATGCACACAAAAAACAGTTCAATTTATGTACCGTTCTCTCTAATAGTGGCGGCCCTTGAGCGTTGCCTAAATTTCTCGAAATCTCGAAAAGCGCTTATCAGAACCTATCGATGTGGGGTCGGAAAATGTAGCTGACGATGAGATCTAGTGGGGGATTTGAGTGTTGAGCTTCTGGGAAAAATTGGAAAACGTAAGATAGTCATCAACTCGGCTACAAATCGACCGTAACAAATCCAACAAAGCTTAAAGAAGCTGGTAACTAAAGGAGAAGTTGATTTCAAAGAAGCTAGTCCCTAATACTAGTCCATAAGCTTGCCTGAATCGCTCGAAATCTCGAGAACCGCTTATCAGAACCTATCGATGTGGGGTCGGAAAATGTAGCTGACGATGAGATCTTATGGGGGATTTGAGTGTTGAGCTTCTGCGAAAACTTTGGAAGCCGTAAAATAGTCATGAACTCGGCTCGGCGGGGTGCGATTACTATTAGAGAGAATACGGTATCTATTTTATCATCATCATTATCAATGATATCATGATATCATTTTTGCAATCTAAATTTTAAAATAATCAATTTTTCAGCAACTTGACCCTTTCCGATGGCACGTTCACGAATCGATGGTCATACGAGAAAATTTGGTTTCAAAAGGTTCATTTTTTTTGAATTTTTGAATACTTTAACTTTATAGAGTCTAAGTTTGGTTATGATTAAAAAATAAGACTAAAAACTTTGTTATTTATATCATAAATCAAAGTAATTATCTTGAAATACTATTAGACTTTTCAGAAAGTCTTTTCGTTTCTTTTCGTCGCTATTTGTAATGGTTTTGCTTAAAGTTCCGATTCATTGTTTGATTTACAGTTTATTCTATTAGAAAGCTCTCATAATTCTTGACAAAATTCCTTTTTAAAGTTTCTGAGAATCTTTTGTTTTTTGGGATTTACGAGAGTCGAGAAGCAAAGTAGTCAAAAATCGAAAATTCAAGAACAGATGATTTGGACACTTTTGCCCACAGAAACCTATTTTGGTGTCAATAGAAAAAAAACGATAGAGCATAAAAAGTTAGGCATATAACTTACAGATTTCATACATACAGATTCAATATCATAGGTTCATGATTGTTCTTGAAAATTTCTAGGTGAACTTCACGAGGAACAAGGAGGCTGTGCTGTGGATAAACAGTCCACAACACGAGGTGAAACCCGGGACACCGATGGCCAATGTAAGGATCATTTTTGGCAAACTGAATGCAATATTAGAATCTAATATATATAAAGCAAAAGAGACGTCTGTCTGTCTGTCTATCTATCTGTCTGTCTGTCTGTCTGTCTGTCTGTCTGTCTGTCTGTCTGTCTGTCTGTCTATATCTGTCTGTCTATTTGTCTGTCTATCTGTCTATCTGTTTGTCTATCTGTCTATCTGTCTGTCTATCTGTCTGTCTGTCTGTCTATCTGTCTACTATCTGTCTATCTCGTCTGTCTATCTCTGTCTGTCTGTGTCTGTCTGTCTGTCTATCTGTCTATCTGTCTGTCTGTCTATTTGTCTGTCTATCTGTCTATCTGTTTGTCTATCTGTCTATTTGTCTGTCTATCTGTCTGTCTATCTGTCTATCTGTCTGTCTGTCTATCTGTCTGTCTATTTGTCTGTCTATCTGTCTATCTGTTTGTCTATCTGTCTATCTGTCTGTCTGTCTATCTGTCTGTCTATTTGTCTGTCTGTCACGTCCGACATGTCACAGGCACTTTTCTCGACGCCCAGATCGAATTTCGAGATGTAGTTTTTTTTGTTCGATAGGAAATTTTATGCTGATTCCGCCCCCAAAAAAAAATCGGGAAAATCCATCGAACCAATTTTGTTAAAACGTCCAAAAACTGCAAAACCAGCCGAGCCCAATGTTGCCTAACTTCCCCTCCGCGCGCAAATGGCCGAGTGGTTAGAGCGCGCATCTCGCAAACGAGCGTGGGAAAGAGGGGTCGTGAGTTCGGTCCCCCTCCGAGAAAATTAGTTTTCTTTTCTTTTCAAAATTGATTTTAACTGTTGGAAAGTCAATTTCAATAGTTTTCTACTATGTATAAAAGGGAAGAGACGTCCGTCTGTCCAAATAGCATTATGAAATTTGTGAATTTCAAGAAAAATTCATTTTCAAGAAGCCGATTGCTCATAAAAACATCAAATGGTTGAAGATTTTTGTTGAAAAATATTTCTTTTAAGCTTTTTAACAAGAAAAGAGTTAAATAAACCATATGAGGGTTCTTAAAACTGTTCATAAAAAGCTGCATATTGAGTTGCCAAGGATTGTTTTAGTTCGCATCTTTCAAGCCTTTAATAAAAAACTTAAAAAGCATAAAGAGAAAGAAATACAGAAAGAAGTTGCATAAATAAATGCTTTATAGAATATTATCGCAATTTTCATCTTAAAAATGAATTAAACCGGCTTGCGGAGTAACAGCCAAGATATAGCCCAAAAACGATAATTTACGAGCATTCTGTACTTTTTATAGCTTTACATAAAATGATACAGTAAGATTTGCTTGAATTGGTCGAAATTAAGACAATCCAAATTGATATTATTATATGGTTTTTTAGATCATTTATCACATCGACAACTGCTCACTTCATCACAACACCGGCCCACTTGTTGAGACTCATTGGGATCTTTTCGCGAGTGCAAATGTTTTCCATTGGAATTTTTGGTATGATATTATAAACTAATAATAAATATCAACAATTGTTTAGGTCAAACACTTTTGCGAATAATACAAACGGTGGGGTGTCGGTTCGTTTACCCGATCCTTATGACGTCACCGCTCGGCAACAGGGGCACACTTTCTTGGTGGGTTTTTGACAAAAAAAATTGAAATTTATTTAGATTATAAATAAATAATCTTATAAAATATGCAAATTTATAGATATAAAATTATCGTAAATACTGTAATAGTACCCCGCCTCGTACAGTCGCGTAATCGCAAAAGTTTTTTAGTATTTCATTTTTTTCAAAGCGCCCGTAGTTTCAAAAAATGCGTATTTGGTATCAAAAAATAGCTGAAATTCAGGGCTATTTTTGATATCAAAGATAATGACGGCGCGGAGTGTTGCGTAGTCTAGCTTTGAACGCGTTTTTCTCGACACTGGTTTAAGCTACAATGCGCGCTTAGGTATCAAAAAATAGCTGAAATTCAGGGATATTTTTTGATACCTAAGCGCGCATTGTAGCATAAACCAGTGTCGAGAAAAACTCGTCCAAAGCTAAACTACGCAACACTCCGCACCGTCATTATGGGAGTGGGGTACTATTACAGTATTTACGGCATAGATATATTTTTAGATGACTGAGAATCGCTTTGAGACGAACGAAGGGTTGCGAATTCTCGTGGACGGTTTCCATTGCTGGGCAAACATCTCGTCGAACAATTTCACCGATAATATGGCTAGATATGACTCTGGTAAATAAGATATTTAAAGATTTAAAGATATTTAAAGGCTTTCAAAGATTTAAAGATTTAAATTGCCTATTATTATGAAATTTTTAGGTATCTACGAGTTAGCTGGAATGGAAAAGGATCTAATTATGGAGAGGAATCGATTTCTTGGCAATTGGGTGAGTTTTTACACTGTAAGATGTCGAACCTAGCTTTTAGGGTCATTGGATGGTCAAGATGAACATGCATAGTCAGTCGACGAGGAATGGCTCTCGTCACGTGCCCGCCATCATCCAATACAACTACTTCCAGGGGAATAAATTTGTACAAGTACGCATTTTCTTTGCTTGGATCTTACTATTTCATAGAATCAATCCAGATAGATTTGGACTAGTTGTACTTAGCTTTAATAGATGAAAATATTCAGTCAAACCAAGACTACGTGGACAAAAGATAGAGCATCAAAAAGTTAGATATATAACTTACAGATTTCATACATACAGATTCAATATAATAGGTTCAAGATTGTTCTTGAATTTGTACAAGTACGCATATTTTGTTTGCTTTGATCTTACTATTTAATAGAATCAATCCAGATAGATTAGGACTAGTTTTACTTAGCTTTAATAGATGAAAATATTCAGTCAAACCAAGACTACGTGGACATGTGGCCGAGATCGTACGCGATCGGCGTTTTCGGCACTCAACGAGCCGACGTGCATTTCAATCGACTCAGCAATCGACTCATGGATTTCGAATTGGTCACTGGGTGTACGGTAAGAGGAAATGAGATAATGGATTTGATTTTCAATATAGCCTATCCGAGTGCTCGACTCGATGAACGTCACGCACAATTGGTTTGGCTCGGGCAACGATGCCGAGGTGGCGCAACGGATTTTTGATCTCGGTGAGGAGTAGAAATGGGAAAATTCCGATCCGAACCTAATTCCACCCTCGTTTTCTCAGCCGTTTCTTGGCCGATTGTTCTGAAATTTTGTTTACAAATAGAAATCGAGATTTTCAGCTTGTAGACAAAGTTTCAGAGCAATCGGCCAAGAAACGGCCGAGAAAACGAAGATAGAATTAGATTCGGTTTGAAATTTTTCTATGTTTAGTGAGGAGTACTGTATGTGCAAAAATACTGTAAAATATTGTCGCTTTAAATTCAGGCATATGCAAATTCGATAACCTTAATAAATCACAAATTTTAGATGACTGGAACATTTACACGCTGGCCGACTACTCCCCGTTTTACACAAGCGAGGAGCTGTTCATCAACTTTTGGTGGAACCCGAAATTGGTTTGATAATTAATCGATATTAAAGCTTTTAAAATATAGCTAGATATATATAGATGTATATATTATAACTAAATTTACATATTTAGGGCCAACTCGCGTACCCGGTGCTTCCCGAACCGTCCGGCTACGATTTAAAGGGTCGGATGTTCAAGGACAAAACGCTGAAGCTTGAGATTGAAACGTTGGTTTGAGAAATTTATTCATTTGCTTTTTCCATTTTCAGATGGCCAACCATGCCCTTCTACAATCGCCCGATTCGGCCCTATCGAATCACCCGAGATCTAACGATCATGCCCGGTGCCACGCTGACGATTGAGAGGGGTGTTGAGGTTATCTTTTTAAAATCGAAAAATTTAATACTGAGATAAGAAGATAAACTTCGAATATTTAGAAAAAACCTAAAACTTCGGAACTTATTTGTAAATTTAGGTTCACATTTGGCCGAACGTGCGCATTTTGGTGCTGGGGAATCTCGTCGCCGATGCTACCTACTGGGAGCCTGTTAGGTGAGGATTTTTCTAATAATACTATAATTTTAGACTATAGTACGGTTAGAATAGCTCATTAAGAGTCAATTACTGTTTTATATGCTCAAAACAAATTCAGATTCAAACCGATCAACGTCACCGAGTACGAGGAGACGCGTGGACGCGAGCGCGGCCGCTACAAGAGAAGTATCGATCGGTGAGTGGGGAAAATGCTAAAAGCTCAGGCTTAGGGTTAGGCTTAGGCTTAGGCTTAGGCTTAGAATTAGTTTTATTTTCTAAATTTCAGAGCAAGACCCGACCCCGTCTACGCCTCATTCCCGCAACTCTATCGCTACGATCCGTACTACCAGAAATTCTCGGTTCACCTCAACACTGAGGACTCGAAAACGAATCGCGCCGGCTGGTTGGAGATCTACAATGCGACAAGCGGGGAGATTGTGCCGCTTTGCGATCGACAGTTCACAATTAGAAATGCACAAGTGGGTTGAATTTCAAAATCTTTTCAAAAGCTGATGGGATGGGTTGAGAGACTTTTTCGTGACGATTAAGTAAAGCCATTTAAAGCTGGGCTGGCTTAGATTCTAGGCAATTCCATGACTTTGCCTTTTGAACTAATTCTGTGTAAAACCCGAGCCTTGAACTATTTAGAAACAGCAATATTATTATAGCTTTTTCAAAAAAAACAAATCTATCAGTGTTTCTAGGTGGCATGTCGAGAGCTCGGTTATCCGACTCAAAACGCGTATCAATGGGTGACTGCAAGATGGGAATACAATCCAAAAGTGCACATCCTGAAGACTTACACCGAGCCGCGAGAGTGTCGAGGAGATGAACCAAGATTGGAAAAGTGAGTGAATAATGTTTTTTTACAATTAAAATTTACAGATGTCCCTTGCGCTTTTCCGGGAACACTTCTCAATGGCAGTGTATGGACAATGAACACTTCAACTACATCTATTGCGCGCCGGAGACTCGCGTGAACAAGTGAGATTGTTTTTAGATTAAATTTCAAGAAAACCATTTTAGAAACTATATCGGCTCATGGGGAGGCATCGTTTTTGCGAACGATGAAGTGGATCAAACGGGGAAACCAGCGGAAGTGGAGAAAAGTGTGCTAAAACATGTGGAGATTGTCGGCGGAGGACATGCGCATAATGATTCATATCAGGTAGAAAAAAAAGTCATTTGACGACCTCAACTTTGTGACCTTCCATTGTCAATTTCCAGGGTGGTGCCTTGTTGATCTTCCATCGATCACCAATTATCGAAGCGGTAAATGTGACGAACAGCAGCATGAATGGCATAGAGGTTTAAAGCTCTTTAGATCAAGTCTATATAATTATTTTAGATTGTAAACCCATCAACGAAAGTAATTTTGGTGAATGTGAATGTGACGGACAATAACGGAAAGGGGATCTCGATTGTCACCGCCAATCTGCAAGGACATGGTGGAGGTGAGGGAAATCGCAAAGGAAACTAGGAAATAGAGTAACTGATGGTTTTTTTAACTTGGTGCTTTATTTGACTAACTCTAGCTTTAATTGTAATTGTAAGTAAGTAAGTAAGCTTTAATTATAAGTAAAGTTCTTGTAGACAGCTCAAAAACAATTCAGAAGTACAGCTTTTTGAAGCTAAAAATCTTGCTTTTAAATTTAAATCAGATTGAACTTTAAAAAATTTAAATTCGATTCGATGTAAAACGATCTTTTAAATTTTCTAGAACCACCGCAAGTCGAGATGTCCCTTCCATATTTTGCTCGCGGTTTCGTCGACATGTGTGCTTCGACGAAAAAGATCGTTTTACATGGACGAATTCTTCTTTACTACAAATACGATGCCCGTCCAGTGGATTGTGTGAAAGTTTTCAGCGGAGAAGGGAAAACGATCACTTTCCGGTTGCTACAAGTTAGTTTACCAGGACTTGTCCTTATCGAAAGCTCACAATCAGATCAAAATCGAATTGCTTGCAGTTTGCTAGTAATTCTTTTGCAGAGCTAGTTATATTGTATTAGGCTGTCGAGAAAGGTTATCGGACATTTGATACGCGCCCGCCCCTTCTGCCATTGGCAATCTAACTTTGAGCTCAAATATATTGGTGTTGGGCTGCCCAATTTCAATATTCTTGATATTATTGGATGCGCCAAGTCTTTCTCTGTAGATTGGCATAAACACTATTTCAATTGAAAAGCTCAACACCAAGAAATTTGAGCTTAAAGTTGGATTGCCAATGGCAAAGGGGCGTATCAAATGTCCCACAATCTCCATTTTCTACAAAAAGACTTTCTGGACAGCCTAATATTAAAAATCTATCTAAAAGCTTATTTTTTAAACATCTAGGTAAACCTCTATGCCTCACCCACCGATTTGGGTCGATCCGATGCGTTGCGTGTTTTCTCGTCAGAAGCCATGGAACCATCGACATTGTTGGCAAAATACGGGAAAACCATCGATGGAATTGAGCAGCCAGGTAGTCAAATATAATATTTCTGAGGTTTCAAGCATATCAATTCTATCTCTAGACCTTTCCCCATTCAATCGAGCTCTCTCTGTGAACGGGCCACTCGCGTTGCATTTCCGTGGCACTGCCGCCGATCCGTCTTTCGGCTTCATCGCCGAAATCGCCATCACCCCAACTCCGCCCGATTTCAGTATAGAAATTTCAAAATCGTGATTTTGTATCCTATTCTTAGATCTAATCGACGAAGTGGTCATTGCCAGTTCCCGTTTGGACAACAACGACCGTGGAGCGCTGCGATACGAGAACACCGGCGAGATTAGCCCACATCTGGTGATCGGTTGGGCAAATAAACTCATTTTTTAGCTAACAATCAAATTCCAGAAGACTGCTCAATGTTCCGGAATGGTCTCCACCTTTACGGGAACATCTCGACGACACTGCATTCGGCGATGTTCTCTCTCCACAACACGCAACTCTTGCTTTTCCGCGGCAACTCATTAGGACATAATCGAGGCGGATTGCTCATTGATTCAAAGTGAGTAGAGGTTTTCCTGTTTTCATTCGTAGATAGTTTAAATTTGGTAAGCTTTTATTTATATGATTTTACAGTACAGTAGAAGTTAGCCGATTGTAGACAGTTTCAAGGCATCGAATGTAATCAAGTTACAATTATACAATTTTTCTAGATCCGAATCAGCGGTGGCTCGACTGATGGCAATCGTCAAAAATAATCTCTTCGTCGCCAACTCGAACAGCACAACAATTGAGCTATTGGGCAATGGATATCAGGTTTAAATTGAAAATCAATCAAAAAAAACGTTTTGATTCCAGAAAGTGACTATGTTGAACAACGTGATCTCGCACAACTATGCTTACTATTTTGACACTGTTCTGGCGCATGATGTGATTGTAAATATGACAAGAAATACGATCTTCAACAATACGGGATTGCATACGGTAAAGGCTTATTTAAGTTCAAAAAATTTTCTAGAAATTGGTTAAGAGTTTTCAATCAAAGTTTTCAAAGAAATGTGCTCAAAAACTCAATTACTTTCCGAAACTAAAGCCAAATTTAGATTGATATCCGCTCCTCGATCAACCGCGTCAGCTCGGAGAATCACGCTTTCTTGAGAAATAATATTGAGCACAACTTTGCGCTAGGACATGGGCATCAATATTTACAGAGGTTTGAAAGAGTTTTAGTAGTAAATCGGGACCAACATTAGCCTTGTTGTTTAACGCAAGACACGCTTTATAACGATATAACGATATAACGGTTGCTATTTACATTTACTCCTCTTGCAGTTGGTTCAGTAGAATGCTCGCCTGCCACGTGGGCGATCCGGGTTTGATTCCCGGATTGCGCACGATGAAAGAAAAAAGCAATATCGTTATAAAGAGCTTTAGTTAATACACGATAAATCTAGTGGTAGAGGTTAGAAATATGAAAAGTGCTTATCTATCGGAAAATCTTTGCTAGCTGTCGGAAAAGTACGTTTTTTCCAATTTAGATATGGTTTTCAACCGGGCTGGACTGACGAATTCGATCTTTACAAACGCCCGAAAAGACAGGTAAATTACAAAAGCGAATAAACTTTTGAAAATTGTATAAATCTAGATCTCCTATCCGATTTTCAAACAAGACGGAGTGTCGTTCGACTGGTGGACGCATGTTTATGGAGAAACAGACCGCTACAGAAGCACAATCTACGGTGGATCCTCTCGACAACATTATGAAGTGAAAAAGTTTTTTTTAAAAATTGAATTTATCGTAATTTTTAGAACAATGTGTTCAACAATCCGGAAAACGAGTTAGATCTGACGACATCGAATCGCAGTGCGTATGATGTATCGTCGGTGGATGCCCGGAGGAACTATTGGGGGTGAGTGAATTGAGGATTGAGCTGTTCTGAACAGAACAGGAGTTAGGTATAGATTTACTGTTTCCAATGGCAGGTATATTCGAATATTCGAATGGATATTCGAACTAGATCTGATGGTGAGCCAAGTCAAGTAAAGCCAGCTCCAGGGCTCGGTTCCAGATTTTGCTAGATCTAGCGAAATCTGGACCTGGACCCAGGTCTGACTAACTCTCTTGGCTTCATGGCTGGGAGAATTTGCCTAGCAATTAAAGCTCAACACCAACAATTCCAGCTGGCCAAGCACGGACAGTGTGGCTGCTGGGCGAATCCGCGACGAGTCCGACCTCCCATATCTCATTCGTGTCGACTATTCACCCGTTCTCGAATCGAATACCTCGCTCATTGAGGGTGATTGCCCGGCTGGATGGTTTCAAGTGGGAGATCAAGAGTTCAAGAGTTGCTATTTGTATGTGGGAGCGGCGAGCACGTACGAGCGAGCGCAACAATATTGCGAGGTAAGCTTTTTACTCTTCAAAAGAACCATTTAAAAAATTCTCAAATTTGATCTTTTAGGAGCTCGGCTCTTTCCTAATCTATCTCTATGATGACGATTATCGGCAAAAGGATTTGGCCAGACGAGTGGAGGAGATCGAGCTGGATGCGCTAACCGAGGCTGAACGTCAAAGGACAATGCTTGGGGTAAGAGAAGTTTTTATTAAAGTTTCGTTTAGAATTTAGATCTGCGACTTAATTCTTTTTTCAAGTAATTGATAGCAAAGATTTCTTTAGGCCCGTAGCGAGATCAAGATCTGGGTTGGGTCGGCGGCGTTCGCATGGCCACAATGCGGGTACTTGTCGGCGAGAACGACGCACACTCACTACGAAAATTGCCAAGCATTGAGGCCATTTTTATGTGAAAGGGGTTAGTGTTTTGGAAATTGTAAAGAAATTTGAGCAAGAAAAAAAAGAAATTTGAGCATCCCATAATCAACTAATTGTAAATAGTTCGATTGAGCTTTCTTTGCGAAACTTATTGGAGTTATTTCCAGGTACTCTCGCCTATCAAGAGCCGATTCTTTGGCGTCGAGAGGTGTGGATTGTGTTGATCGTTCTTGCCGTGATTCTCTGCATAATCATTCTCTTGGCGTGTTGCTGGTGCTTGAAGTCGAGACGGCGATCCGAGGAGGCGATTGCTCGAAAGAATATCATGCGTGCGAGTATGAATCTGCAGAAGTGAGTTGTGACTTGCCTGCCGTTTCAAACGACAGTAGACATCGGCACTACAAACGTGAACTACAAACGCTTCTAATTTGCTTCAAATCTACCAAATTGACATGATCTCTAGCTCAAAAAATGGAGAATCTCAAGAGCTTTCGAATGAACCAAAGTACACCCAAAAATCTCAATGCTAAAGAAAGTTACAGTGGTTTGTAGTCCTGACTCGATCGCTTCGACTACGCGCGAGTATGGTTCGTTTTGAGTAAAACCACTGTAACTTTCTTTAGCATTGATATTTTTGAGTGGGCTTTAGTTCATTCGAAAGCTCCTGAGATTTTCTATTTTTTGAACTATAGCTCATGCCAATCTGGCGAATTTGAAGCAAATTAGAAGCGTTTGTAGTGTGACAGTTCGTCATTTTTGTAGTTTATAGTGCTCATGTCTAGACGACAGTTATCTATGTTAGCTTTAGATTTGAAAATTTGTTACCGAAGGCGTTCTGGGATAGAGAATATGAATCCGTTATCAATTTTTGAGCAATTTTAATTTCCGAGCCAATCAGGCATCACAAAACTCTAAAAACTTGGGTAATTAAACCAAATGAAATATCGAAAAATAGAGGTATTTTCTTTAAAAACTAATAACGGATTCGAATTCCTTGACCTCGAAAATCCTTGATTTCAAATTTTCAACCTAATTGACCTCAAAAAAAGGTGCTAAATCTACGTACAGTCCATCGGTGGGCCGTATCGTCGCGTATATATAATTTATATAATATGATTTGCATAAGTATAAGTTGCCGTATATAATTTGCATATGATTTGAAGAAAAAGTGTCGGGTATAAGAGTCACAAGTACGCTCTTGCTAGATCTATTATTTTTTTTATTTAAAGTTTGTTCTTTTTATGTAAAGTAGCAAGCATTTGAGTCGAAAGTATTTTAAAGAAATCATATTTTAATGAAAACCAATATTCTAAGAACTTCAATTTTCAATTGAACTTCAACAATGATTTTCTAGGAAAAAGAAAATGCGAGAGTTTGAGTCAGCTTATGGATCGAATCTCCCGTCACACGAGAGCGCTATTGGGAGCATCTCGGCAACACCCTTGCATGCTTATGGAACTTCGAATTACTACTCAAAGAGGTAAAAAGAGATCTGATTTATATGGAAATACTTCTTTAAAAAAGATAAATTTCTTTTCTAAACTTTATAGCCAATCGTTTAGAAGCCATGGCTCTTTGGACTCACCCGGATCAACTAACACCTATGAGACAACAACAGCCTAGTGAGTTAGATCAGATTTTGATTTGATATGATAAAATGGAAAGAAGAAGCTAAATATATGTACTTTAGCTTCTCTGGACGAACTGGTGAGACAAGGACCACTGAGACAACGACAGGGCGAACGACAAACGATCGAACGACGACCACTGACAGGACAGGGACGAGTCGACCAACTGATTACACAAGATCTGAATCGTATTATGGATCGACACAAGAGAGTGCTCATATTGCGCCAAGAAGGTTGGGAAAAGATTTAGATTCTAATATACTAGGATTTGTTTATGTTTTTGAGTATAAAGTACAACCAATAGCTTAGCTTAGCTTGGCTTGACTTGGCTTAGCTTAGCTTGGCTGATAGTAGCCAATTTTGACTTTAAACTGCAGTTCTTTTTAGATCGATGGTCAACTTGACGCCAAATCCCTACTCGGAGATTAACACTCAAGTCTCTACATTTCAGCCAAATGGGGGAAAGGTGAGATTTGGAAACTTTTCACTTTTGAATTTTTCATTTCAAGAACTAGTGCATGATCTTGCATTTCTAAAGCTTGAAATAGCCATGCTTTCAGGTTCGAATGAGGCCTCAATCCGTTCACGACACCTCTTGCTCATCGGTTCACTCATCAGCGGCTACAACTCCGTCATCTTGCTCGACTTGTCCAACAACCGATCGCGATTCCACCGTCACTGATGGATCATGGTTAGTGAAGCAAATCAGCACAAACATTTGTGCTTGAATTTTTGTGCTCTGTAGGTCTAGTCATATCTAGTTGGCTATGGTGCCAACAAAAAAAGAAAGAAACCAAGAACTCTAATCGTTTTGCTTTTCTAGGAGTGAGATGAGCGATGGTACCGTTCATAAACCGTTGGTGCCGAATCGTCATCATCCTGGCAGTAACATTCATCCATCGTTCTCTCGAGCTGGTACTCAACGAAAGGATGATGTCGAGAGGAAGAAATATCCGGCTCCAAGAGGAAGTGCACGATTTGCACAATCACCACAGATTTCGAGGTAAAAATGAAGCTGAGCCAGGGGAACAGAAGTATGAAAAGGAAAAGCACAGTCTAATAACTTTTAAAGCACAGAAGCTTTCACAAAGCTTTCAAAGCACAGAAATCTCTTACAGATCCAACCCAGCCATCTACAGTGCTCTACCCACCATTCCCTCATCAATTCCACCAATTGAGAGCACTGTATTACCCACCACGAGACATGCGCCAGCCCCTCCCCGTCCCATCGTTCCCCCTCGAACCACTGCCCCAATGGTGCCACCAACGAGATCACTCGTCGATCTTTATCAACCAACCCGTCCTCCACCACAACATCAATCATCATTCCCCTCAACTAGCCCACATTCCACTAGGAAACCAATCGTTGAAACTACTATGTAAAAGGAAATTGACAAATGTAGGCTTTGCTCATGTAAACGCTCACGAGCTGGCGCATTTTCTTATTTTGTACAACGTTAGACTGTTTCTAAAATATGTACAGAACAATATGGGTGCGTTTGTTCGGACAGGAAGTACATGCTTATTTTTACAGAAAAGACAATCAATTTCTTTCACTAAGATCATTTAAATTCTAATTAATATGCAAATTGTTAACCTTCATGAGATTATTATTTGTGTTTTCTTCACTTTTTTTGTCACTTCTCATCGAAACGATATCAAAATCCCTTTTCCAAAACGGGTACCCATTTCATTTGCACGTGATATCACCCCCATTTACCGTACTTTCGTCTGTATTTTGAGAAATTTATTTATTAAGAATAAAGTATTTATTTAAACCCGTAAAAGCACAAAAAAAAATTTCATTCAATTTTCTCCTTTTTTATTGGGATTTCGGGGAATTTGGATTGAAATTCTCGATTTTCTCATTGTTATTATTGTTTTCTGTTGACAAAACTTTTTCCAGCATTTCTTCTTCTAAAATTCTTTTTGAAAAACTTTAAAAGCTTGCTTTTAAATAAAAATCTATTAACTATTGATATGAAAATATTGGGGGAAGGCTAGTTTCCGCAACTTTTTCTGCGCAACTCGCCATGAGTTTCTCTTCTAAGTGGACCAATCTTTATGATTTTGGTTTCATTTTGTAGATCTCAATAAGTGCAACAAAATGAAACCAAAATCATAAAGATTGACCCACTTAGAACACTGGCCAATCATAAAGATTGGCCCACAGAAAGTTATGGCGAGTTGCGCAAAGAAAAGTTGCAGAAACTAGCCTACCCCAAATATTGATTGTAATCTTGCCTAATCTTTTTTAAAAAATTTTCAATGAATATTTAACACAAATTCTCACCAATTAGATTCACTTGTTGAATCGCAGCGCTTTCTGCAGACGTTTTAGGTTTAACGTGATTCTAAACCTTGAAAAATATTAGAATTGAAGTTCATGATTGCATTGAATTGCCATTGAATTGAAAAAAATCCAATTTCTTCCAAAAAATCCAATTGTATTGCTTCAAAAATCAAACTTTAACCTTTGTATGTATCGTTAAAATGAGCCCAATGAGAAAGATGGCTGTTTGAGAGCAAAAAGCCTCGTGCAACGATGGAAAAAGTCGATGCTCCATTTGCAAAGAGCGAACGAGGAAAAGAACCTGAAATTTTTGAAAGTTATTCGTTTCAATTTTTTGAAACTCACAAAGCCAACCGCGCAACTCAGCTTCCAGAGTCGCCGCACTGTTTGCACACGGGTGTAGAAGCCGGTGCAACTGAAAAAAACAAAAAAACAAAATCATTCACCCTTAGCGAACCTTTCATCAGACTACCTAAACAAATTAAAGTTCAAAAAAAATTCGACACAACATAGTCTTTTATGACCTACAAAAGTAGCATAGCCACCGCGATCACTTTAAGCGCATCGTGCCCAATTCGCTCCAACTCTGGGCACGCTCGGAGCTGTTGGAGGACTGAATTTTGTAAAATTACAAATATAAACAAATATACTAAGCTAAACCTATTTAACTCTTTACAGGGTGAGCAAGAATTACCGCAACAATGTCGCATTATGAAATGGGGCTCATAAGAGCCCCATTTCACTTTTTTGCTTACCTTTTTTTATGGTTTTTGTGTATTTTTCTTATTTTATGGTATGATTATTAACTTTCAATACTTTCAATAAGTTAATATGGTTGTTTTCAGGAATGGTGAAAGCGTCCCCACATCGACAATCGATCCTTGAGCTCAAGCGGCAGCGTGTTCAGGCGAGCGAGATCTCAAAGCGCTTGAATGTCCCCAGAAGCCTCGTTTCTCCAATCATTCAATGTTATGAAACTCTGGGCACAGTTTCTGATCGCCCTGGAAGAGGTGCAAAACGAACAGCGGTTACTCCGGCTAATGTCAAGATGTCTGGCTGACGTCAAAGTGCACGATCGTCTAAGTTTAAACCCTAACCAATCGGCTCGAGGAATGGCACAGAAAATGGGAAGAGAAGAAGCTCCGGCAACTCCGTCTCCGTCAACTCCGTCCCCGTCACCGAAGAGCTCCGTCACCGAAGAGCTCCGTCACCGAAGAGCTCCGTCACCGAAGAGCTCCGTCACCGAAGAGCTCCGTCACCGAAGAGCTCCGTCACCGAAGAGCTCCGTCACCGAAGAGCTCCGTCACCGAAGAGCTCCGTCACCGAAGAGCTCCGTCACCGAAGAGAAGCTCCGTCACGGAAGAGAAGCTCCGTCAACACAATCATCAAGAAAAAGCTGAAAATGAAGCCGTACAAGAAGAAAAAATCTCAATTACTATCAGCTGCTGCGAGGGGCGAAGACCGATGTGCCCAACTTTTGCAACGTTTCAACGGAATCGATCACCACAACATCCTGTTCACCGATGAAAAGATATTTACCGTCGAGGGAATTCTCAACAATCATCAAAGCATGGAATACCCTCGATGATGCCTATTTGCTCGCCACGGTCAACGCGTTTCCCAAACGTTTGCTGAATTCTGTCTGAATGCCGATGGAGGCAAATTTGAATTTAATTGTTAACTTGTTACTGTTATATGTTGAATAAAGATATTTAAGTTAACTTTTCGAGATGGATTGCATAGCCTGGTTGGTTAAGCCTTTTGTGCCAGTGTTGCCAATGCTTTTGTGTTGCGGTAATTCTTGGTCACCCTGTAAAAACAGTTCAAAGAATCTAAAATCTTCAGTTTAAAAGCTTTAAATGAAAAATTTCAAAATTCTCGAGTTTTTTCCCCTACCTAAAGGCCCAGCCGAGATCTCAGCCATATTCGTGTCTACCGGAAGGTTCAAGCACCTGAAAACATGCCTGAATTTCACTTTATACATTGAAAACTTGTCTATAAAGTGAAAGTTTTTCAAATTAAGTTTAAATTATTCTCTAGATCAAATCTTTACATACCAAACATATCCATGCATCCACAAAGGACTGTAGAGAAAATCGTTCACTTGCCAAGACACAAAAACAGCCCAGATGAAGCTTAAAAAGTTAAAAATCATAATAATAAATGATAATAAATGATTAAAGAGTTAAAAATGACAAGTTTTACGTTTTAAAGCTATTTAATTTTAAAATAGACAAAAATATTTTAAAAAACTACTACTTACTTTTTTTTGAGCTTAAAAAGCTAATAGCTCATTTTTTTTGCTATTAGAAGGCTAGTTTTAGTTTAATTTTTAAACGGGAGTGAGACAAATGTGACCTTTTGTTTTGCGCACCTTTTTTTGCGCACCTTGCCCATTAGCACACCTTTTTTCGCGTTTTAAAAAAGCTCTAAAAAGCTAATATTAACCAATTTCTATTCCAACCAAATGTTGTTTTTCTAGGTAATTTGAGGGCGTCGAATTCAAATTTTGACATAACAAAGCGTGTGGAACCAATTTGAAAGACAAAACGGCTAGATCAAATTACAGAAAATTGTCGATTTTTCTCTTTGTATAACTCCGTCCGTTTGTTTCCACGAGCTCTGATATGTCAAAATCTCGATTCTACGCCCTAAAATTACCTAGAAAAACAACATTTGGAATAGAAATTGGTTAATATTAGCTTTTTTAGCTTTTAGCTTTTTAGAGCTTTTTTAAAACGCGAAAAAAGGTGGGCTAATGGGCAAGGTGCGCAAAAAAAAGGTCGCATTTGTCCCACTCCCTTTTAAACATATCAACTACAGAAATAGTTAATGTTTAGAAATTAGCATAATCTTTAAATAATATTTTCAAGAAATTACCGATAGAAAGCGCCGAAAATTTTCCGCAAAACAGCCTCATTTCGAGAGATTTCTGAAGGGTCCTCCGGTGGGAAAGATCGAATTTTCAAGTTTTCAATTAAATTTAATGCTTTAATCATAGCAAATAAACGTGGAAGATGGTTTTAAATTGAATTTAGCTTTTGAGATTTGGTTGAGCTTTGGGATTTCGTTTTGGGATTTCGTTTGGGGTCAATCGATTCGACTGAATCCTTTCTCTTTCCAAATTCTCTTCTCTATGACCTCATTTCATCCTTGCGATCTTTTGGATCTTTTGGATTGGAAAAGAAATCTTTTAAGAAAGACAAACCCTTGTTCAAAATTTATCAATATAACTTTGTACTTTATCAATTTATAAAAATGATACTATAAACATTATAATAAATATTGATAATAATTTATTTTGATGATAAAGTAAAACTCAATAAATCATAAAGATTCGCACAGCGGGTCATAAATGTAGAGATAAAAGAAAGGTAAGAAGATACAAGATAGAGTGAAAATGAAAATAAACAGATTACCTACCGTAAATACTGTAATAGTACCCCACCCCCATAATGACGGTGCAGAGTGTTGCGTAGTCTAGCTTTGAACGAGTTTTTCTCGACACTGGTTTATGTTACAATGCGCGTTTAGGTATCAAAAAATAGCTGAAATGCAGGGCTATTTTTTGATACCTAAGCGCGCATTGTAGCTTAAACCAGTGTCGAGAGAAACTCGTTCAAAGCTAGACTACGCAACACTCCGCACCGTCATTATCTTTGGTATCAAAAAATAGCCCTGAATTTCAGCTATTTTTTGATACCAAAGACGCATTTTTTGAAAGTATGGGCGCTTTGAAAAAAATAAAATACTAAAAAACTTTTGCGACTACGCGACTGTACGAGGCGGGGTGGGGTACTATTATAGTATTAACGGTATGTGAGAGACGTTGGATCTAGAGCTGCTATTTGTTTCTTGAAATTGACTGAATTTCTCGTATGTAATTTGAGAGTAAGTTCCATCACTTAGCGGCTCTAACGGGAAATGTGTTTCATAAAGAAGCGCTAAACGCAAAAGGAATACGCAAAAGAAATCTGCAAAAGGAATGAACCACTTCTGGACTCTGACCTCGGGTTAAATTTGAAATATAAGAAGAGAAGAAGAGTCTTCTATTTTTAAATCTCTCGAAAAATTCTTTTTTCCTTCCCTAGCTCTATCGCAAATCTTCAAGAGCTTAAAAATAAGTGTTTTTAATGATTTTTAACCGATTTCCAACCGGTTTCCAACCGATTTCCAACCGGTTTCCAACCGATTTCCAACCGTTTTTCAAGGTTATTAAGCTTTTTTAAAATCTATAACTATTATTTAAACACTTTAACTTAAAGTTAGATGAGTAAAAGATATGATGAAGATGTTTAGTAACTTTGTAACATAAATTAAATTTAATCAATCAATTAATGTAGAGCCAAATCAACTATTTGGCATTCCCAGGAGGCTTGATGTTTCCGAAATGTTTCCGAAATGTTTAGTAAGTAAGTTTTAGTGTACGAACAAGAGTTAACCTTAGAATTGATTATAAACACTGCGCAAGGCAGTGATTAAGCTTCGGGAGTTCATAATAGAGTGTGCTCCTTCGGAGTAAGCAATTACTCGAGTAAAATTTGCATGAGCTAATTTTTACGTCGATTAACTACGAGTAATCCTCTTGACACGTCGATTAACTACGAGTAATCCTCTTTACACGTCGAGTAAATTGAATATCTTTACATTTGAAGTGAATTTGCCACCAAATCAGTTAAACAGCTGAATATCATTAAAAGAAATCGGCGCTCGTGATTTTTTTTCCAATAATTTCCGCAAAAAGTACGATAATTTTTCCCAAGTGTACGTTTTAAAAAAACGCACTCTTTCTTGACGACTTTCTTGGGTTTGTTCAATTCGCCTTTGATCCCATGATTATAAACAAATTAGTGGTAAACAACTTTTATCGATAATCCAACAAAGGGCCCTTTTCGTCATTTTCTATCTGATGCATCATTTATTTGAAATGTTTGTTTTTGTTTGTTTTTGTAAGTCAATTTGACCCCTTTGTTGGACCATCGGTAAAACTTGTTTACCCCTAATCTGTTGATAATCGAACAGAAAGGAATAGTCGTGAAGCCAATTGTTATAATGGATTTCAACGAGAGATGCCAGGTGGATTTAATCGATCTTCAATCCGTTCCCGATGGAGAATTCAAGTTTTTGATGGCCTACCAGGATCATTTCACAAAGTTCGTCGTTTTGCGGGCATTGCAAAGGAAAACACTTTTTTGAATTTGAATGGAAATATTCGGAACGTTTGGAGCCCCAAAAATTCTTCAATTAGTGTAGCTTAAACAATAAATGCACAGTAACAAAAAGAAAAAATAGGAATGAAATAAGGGTTATGTTCGATTATAAACAGATTAGTGGTAAACAAGTTTTACCGATGATCCAACAAAGGGGTCAAATTGACTTACAAAAACAAATAATTCTATTTCAAATAAATGATGCATCAGATAGAAAATGACGCAAAGGGCCGTTTTATAGCCTTTGGTTGCAGTATGATAAAATGCGCACTCTTTAGAATGCGTTTTTAGCTTTTAAGCGCTTTTTAGAGAGCTTGAGTTTGTGGTATTGACTTGAGTCAATACATAACTCCAGATTTCATTTTTGAGACTTAATCGGCTAGCCGAAGAAGGTTTCGCTAGCGAAAAAATTTGAGACTCCATCCGCCACGACATATACACTGCGCAAGGCAGTGTTTAAGCTTCGGGGAGCCATAAAGCATTTGTAAATCTGTTTATTGTGATTTATCAACTACAGTGTCGACAATTTATATCGTTTTCTCAAATCGGCAAAAAACAAACCCTTAACTTGAACGAGCTTTGGCAAATTGAAAACAATTGGGAAATTAAATTTAATCAATCAATTAATGTAGAGCCATTTAGCATTTCCGGGAAGCTTGATGTTTCCGAAGTGTTTCCCGTTCGCTTGCAACAAGATTCCAATCGACCACTCGCCCTGAAATTCGATAATTAAAAGTTGAAGAGTCAAACCCTTATTAAAGTTAGTTTCTGCAATTTGCTCACAATAAAATGCAAATTTGAAGCTATTGTAGGTTCAGAAGTTAGGAAAAGCGAAAAATTTTCAATAATTCCTTTTGGATCAAAGTCAAACAAGCTGATCTTCAGTTAAACAAGAAGATTGAAATTGATTTCCAGTTGAAAAACTCTCTGACTACAAGGTGTCTATTTTCATCTTTTCTTTAAAGAAATCTCATATCAATAACATTTCCCGGAAGAAATTTCAAGATCACAAATTGATAGAAAATTCTTTGATTCAATATTTTCTCGAAACTCTTATCTCCGGGCGTGGCAGTGAATGGTTTCCACCGAAAATTTGATTAAATTCTTCAAAATATTCGAATTAGAAGTAGATCTAAGCAAAAAGAATATAACAATTCAAAGTTTAAACTCATATTTTTCAAGAAAACTACCGTAAATACTCTAATAGAAGCCCCTAGAAGAAGCCCCATAGAAGCGTCGTATAGTCTAAGTTTACTCTCAAACAAACACTCATATCTTGACACCAGTATGCTTGTTTCTACGCGTTTAGGTATCAAATTAAAGTAGAGAGAATGGGTGTTTTTTTTGAGCTATAACTCATATTTCTAGCATCAATCAGTGCTTAGAAAAAAATGATTGAAAAGTGGCAAAAAGTTGATTTTTCATCATTGAGTTATTCGCTTTTTTATTGGATAAAGACTGTTTAAAAAAACAACTATACAATTTAGATATGTATTAGGATTCGATTCTATACTGGATTAGACGTAGATACTTTGAAATCTTAGATAAATCACACCTTGAGAATACCGTTGATGGCTCCGTTGATTGAGGGAAGGGTGATCGTGCCGGTGATGTTCAAGTCTTTTTCAATCTGAAAAGGGAAAACTTTGTCTAGTTATGTCAGCAAATCAATAGATCAATCAATCTTCTGTTGCTTTTTTAACTACTTATAGATTAAAAACATTTTTTCAACGATAAAACAAGTCCCTAAGCCTTAAATTGAGAAAAACTGAGAAAAAAGAAGTAGTAAGGTAGCTGCCGGAATCACCCTTGATCCGTTGACCAGGAGATAGGGGACTTAACCAGTCAACCATGACAGCGAGAGCTGAAAGGAGAAAGGTAATATTAACTGTTGATCGGCCACCTAAGCCTTAAATGTAGGGAAAAACTGAGAAAAAAAAAGTAATAAGGCAGCTGGCGGGATTGAACCCTTGATCTCCCGAATAGGAGCCAGGGGACTTAACCAGTCAGCCATGAGAGCCACAGGGACAGACGAAAGGAGAAAGGTAATATTAACCGAGAGCTTGGGAAACGAATTGAAAAAATAAACTTTAAGCTTTGAAAACTCTACAAATGCATAGCTAGACTATTTTCTTTTATCTTTAAATCTCTAATATCTAATTCTAATCAATTTTCTTATTCACAAACCGTTGCAAGATCATACGTTCCGGGAGTTCCAAGCAATTTGCACATATCAGCACCGAGCACCGAGCAAATGTCGGCGATTTTGCTGGAATTTCACTTTTCTGTACGTCCTACAGTTATAAAGGAATTGTGCGCATTAAATTATACTTTAAATTGATCCACAGACAATTTAAAGCTCACTGCTTACTACAGTCATGGACAAAAGTCTTTTAACGTTGATTTTTAGAAGTTTGTTCTTTGCATATGTCGGTAATCCGACCAATTTGCAAACGGTTAAAAGATTTAAAGAGCTTATCTATCTCTAATTTTAACATTACAAAAAGATGGATTATGGATAATTAAAAGATGGATAATTTATCAGATGTCATGAACTTTTTAATAAAACAAAAATTGAGCCACAAATTGAGCCACAAATTGAGCCACAAATTGAGCCACAAATTGAGCCACAAATTGAGCCACAAATTGAGCCACAAATTGAGCCACAAATTGAGCCAGATTGACCACAAATTGGGCCACAAATTGAGCCACAATTGAGCCACAAATTGAGCCACAATTGAGCCACAGATTGAGCCACAAATTGAGCCACAAATTGAGCCACAAATTGAGCCACAAATTGAGCCACAAATTGAGCCACAAATTGAGCCACAAATTGAGCCACAAGTTGAGCCACAAGTTGAGCCACAAGTTGAGCCACAAATTGAGCCAAAAATTGAGCCACAAGTTGAGCCACAAGTTGAGCCACAAATTGAGCCACAAATTGAGCCACAAGTTGAGCCACAAGTTGAGCCACAAGTTGAGCCACAAATTGAGCCAAAAATTGAGCCACAAGTTGAGCCACAAGTTGAGCCACAAATTGAGCCACAAATTGAGCCACAAGTTGAGCCACAAATTGAGCCACAAATTGAGCCACAAATTGAGCCAAAAATTGAGCCACAAGTTGATGGACAAAAGTCTTTTAAAATGTGAGAAAAACATTATGAAAATCAAAGAACAACGTTCTAAAACCTAACTTCTAAAACCTTCTAAAAACCAGCGTTAAAAGACTTTTGTCCATGGCTGTATTTGATAAATTTAGAATTTAAAACTGAATTTTTAAGGGTATAATCTACAAATAAAGACTACAAAGATGTAGATTTAAAAAGGATTTCAAAAACTCTCACCAATCCTCATCGGGTACAAGTGGGTTCTTGCTCTTTCCATTGTCACAAACAGTGCCGATAAGTAAAGAGTTTTTGACGAGAGTCAGCTAAATAAAGAAATTCGTATTGGAAAGGTGATAATGATCTTATTAATATTCTGAGCCAAATAAAGCGTTAACATGAAAAAGTCACTAACATCAGCCTCCTCTTTGCTCAAATCGTTCGCAGCAGTGACTTTGATGTCACCTAAAAAAGGATTTTCACTCAAAATCTCGAGATTCTCAATGAGATTGTTAAATTTTTGAATAGAAAATAGAAAATAGATAGAAATTAAACCTGAGACAAGTTTGATCATCCCGGGAAGATTTAAGGATGGAGCATTTCCATTACATGCTGGTTTTCCATTGTCGTCATACGTTTGAACTTTCACGTTTTCAAAGTGAATATCAAGATTGGCTGTAACAAAGAGTACTTCATAAGTACAAAAGTACAAAGAGTACATCATACAGTACAAAAGTACAAAGAGTACTTCATAAGTACAAAAGTACAAAGAGTACTTCATAAGTACAAAAGTACAAAGAGTACTTCATAAATGTCTAGAGAAAACTGAACTTTAACTACGTTAACTTTTGATAGTTCACTTCAGAGGATACTCGACTTTTAAATGATATCGAATTTTTTAGACTAATGAATCGAGAATCTTGAGACAAAGCTCTGGATCACATCCAATTGTTCTCCTAGTTTGACTATTGTTTGACTACTGTTTGTCTGCTGTTTGACTGCTGTTTGACTGCTGTTTGTCTGCTGTTTGTCTGCTGTTTGACTGCTGTTTGACTGCTGCTTGGCTACTGTTTGACTGCTGTTATTGTTATTTAACACAATGGTTTACAGCATTTAAAGAATTTGTTGCAAAAATACAGCTAACTTAAGGCCAAAACTGATCCCAAAAGCTTGCGCATAGTGACGCGAAAACAGCGAAAATCGCTCGCTTATCATCCCTTTCCTTAACGAATTCAAAAAGGAAGCCTTTTCTACCCAAGAGGTTTGCCAGGTGAAGAGCAATTGTGCGCGCGCACAAAGAACACCTTGCCAGTCATTTACAGGGATTTTACTTTTACTTTTTAGATGGCTTAAAAAGAAGAAATTCATTAAGAAATTCTGTAATTTGTACCCTAGGGTTTTCAAGGTCGGAGAATCGATTGGAGCTATTCATTTTATTGAGTCTATCAATTAGAACTCGGATTTAATTGGTTAAACTTCTGAAATTGAAACCTTAAAGTGTGACTTGAAAGTTATGGGCTTTCAAAGTGAATTCAAAAACTGTTTTTAAGTCTAAAAGACGCTTTTAAATGAAAAGACTCGTTTGTAATTGTGAAATAATAAAACAAACGATCATTTTGATCGGCGATAGTGAACACATTTGTTGTTCCATCTGTGCATGTTGCGGCGTACGCGGCAACGGCCAAGGCGAGAGTCACCACAATGGAACGCATCTGGTAGAGGAATTTTAAGATCAAAATTAATGGAAAATGAAAGAAATTGGAAAGAAATTGAATACTTGTTTGGAATTCGATACGCTACTTGATGAAATAAGTGCTTTATTTGCTTAAGTACACAAGAGTCTAAAGGGAATCATAAAACAATATGGCTAAATCCCTAGACTGCCTGGAATTGGAAAAATCATCTAAATCCGCTGACTGCCTAGAAAAATCATTGCTTCTTCAAGATAAACAATATTTTCAATATTATATTCTTTCAAATCTAATCCAAGACGCTAAGTATTTGAAAATTTTGAGAAAGCTCGCTAATGGGAATTCTGAATTTCAATATCAAAGTGTATCTGAGTTTTAGGCTCACAGAATATCAGTTTAGAAGGTTTATAATAATATTAAAGTATTTACCGTAAATACTGTAATTGGACCCCGCCCCCATAATGACGGTGCGGAGTGTTGCGTAGTCTAGCTTTGAACGAGTTTTTCTCGACGCTGGTTTATGCTACAATGCGCGCTTAGGTATCAAAAAATAGCTGAAATCCAGGGCTATTTTTTGATACCAAAGCGCGCATTGCAGCTTAAACCAGTGTCGAGAAAAACGCGTTCAAAGCTAGACTACGCAACACTCCGCACCGTCATTATCTTTGGTATCAAAAAATAGCCCTGAATAGCTGAAATTCAGGGCTATTTTTTGATACCAAAGACGCATTTTTTGAAAATATGGGCGCTTTGAAAAAAATGAAATACTAAAAAACTTTTGCGACTAAGCGACTGTACGAGGCGGGGTCGGGTACTATTACAGTATTTACGTTAATAAAAAGAGGAACAGTTAGAAGAAATAGAAATGTATTAGTTTAAAATCATGAATCATGATCATGAAAAGAAAAAAAACGAAAATCTTGTACATCTTGTACATCTTGTACACTTTTGAAAAGCAATTTCAAAAAGATAATAAACGCGTGTGCTGTGAATTTATCATCTTTTCCTCTTATTTTTTTGAGTGCCATTAGCTTTAAATACAAATTGTGAAACCGGAGGCTAATCCCTGTGTGTTTGGGTGGAAAAAAAGGAAAAGACGTCAGGACGGATCTCTCATTTTTCTGATAACGCGATCTCTCATTTTTCTGAATTCCTTGTGCAAAAAGTAACGTTTCAACGAACGAAGATTGTCTTCGGAATGCGGAAAAATCGGTGATCAAGAATTTGTTGACGAAAAAAAACATCGAAAAGGATTTACTGCAAATTTGTCGCTACTTTCCCCCATTATATACCCCCACAACATGAAAAATGTGTTCAGAAAAAGCTTGAGCATGGAAAAAAAGTACTGCAAAATTAAGGGAAAAATTGTTCTCAAAAATTTGGGCATAGAAGCCGAAAATGGGGCCTATGAGAAGCCGAAAATAGTGTCTATGAGAAGCCGAAAATGGCGCCTATGAGAAGCCGAAAATAGCGTCTATGAGAAGCCGAAAATGGCGCCTATGAGAAGCCGAAAATGGCCCCAGTCGCTGGCCTCTCCTTTTCCTTTTTGGATTCCCGTTATACCCCCAAATTTAACAAAAAACAACAAAAAACAACAAAAAACAACAAAAAACAACAAAAAACAACAAAAAACAACAAAAAACAACAAAAACAACAAAAAACAACAAAACAACAACAAAAACAACAAAACTTAGTTTGCATCAAACTCATGATATGGGGATTGATGGTAGGTTTTAAAAAAAGCTACAATCCACAATTCATAATGACAATAAATTCACAATTCAATTTTTGGAGGTCATTTGGAGGCAATCCTTTGAAGAACCCAATCAAAGTAATCGATCTTTCCCCAATTCATTTCTGACCATGATTTCCGCAAAAGGTAGCTTTCCAAATGATGAGGTCCAAATACCGCGGTGCTTCTTATTCCGCCACTTTGCGCTTCCACAAAGCCGCTCGATAGTTTGTGTGTGAATAGAAGGGTCCGTTGAATTAAGAAAGTTCTTCGAGTTCTTCTTTGGGAAAACTATCATTCGGATAAATGGTCTTTTTTTAAATCTGGGGGTATAACGGGAATGATGCTGTGAGGGTATAACGGGATTGATGCTGTTTGGGGGTATAAAGGGATTGATGCTGTTTGGGGTATAAAGGGATTGATGCTGTGTGGGGGTATAATGGGATTGATGCTGTTTGGGGGTATAACGGGATTGATGCTGTTTGGGGGTATAAAGGGATTGATGCTGTTTGGGGGTATAAAGGATTGATGCTGTGGGGGTATAACGGGATTGATGCTGTTTGGGGGGTATAAGGGGATTGATGCTGTTTGGGGGGTATAACCGGAATGATGCTGTTTGGGGGTATAACGGGATTGATGCTGTTTGGGGGTATAAGGGGATTGATGCTGTTTGGGGGTATAAAGGGATTGATGCTGTTTGGGGGTATAACGGGATTGATGCTGTTTGGGGGTATAAAGGGATTGATGCTGTTTGGGGGTATAAAGGATTGATGCTGTTTGGGGGTATAAAGGGATTGATGCTGTTTGGGGGTATAAGGATTGATGCTGTTTGGGGGTATAACGGGATTGATGCTGTTTGGGGGTATAAGGATTGATGCTGTGAGGGTATAACGGGATTGATGCTGTGAGGGTATAAGGGGAATGATGCTGTTTGGGGGTATAACCGGAATGATGCTGTGAGCGTATAACGGGAATGATGCTGTGTGGGGGTATAACGGAAGAGTACCAATTTGTCTAGCTACTTCTTTGTACTCTAGCAAATGAGCTAAAGAACAAAAGATTCATCTTTGCTGTTGTGGCGAACAAAAAACCTTTCCAAAACCTTGCTGTATAATGAAAGGATTAATTTGTTGCCTTAAATTTAACTATATTTAAGGTATCTTCACAAAGTTAAAATTCAAGAATGTTGTGGCGAATTGCCACTGCTCTGCAGTTAGTCAAAAAATTCAATACAAGTTAAAATTCAAAGTTGATGGATAAACTACCGTAATCAGTCACTAGATGATATTCAGCTGTCCGTTTGTTGTAGCTTGTATACTTGAAAAACCCATTATTTAAGCTTTGCTTTTGAGTGAGTTTTTTGTTCTCCTTTTTTGCTTTTTATCATCCTTTTTTTCACATGCAAGTGTTGAATTAATTGTGATAGTGCCAGGTTGCTCTAATTTGAGCGAAGTTGCCCTAATAAGGGAAAGTTGGATAAATTGTGCGTTTTCAAGAAGATCACTATTGAACCACACCGAGACACGGTCTCGCAAGAAATTATATAGATCAAAACATCAACATATCTTTCTTACAAATGTATAGGCAATTCTCGTTTTTTCAATTTGTACAAAAATTTGATCGAGCGACAAATTGAGTTTTCTTTTCAAAAAAAAAAAAATGCAACAATGACTTTGGTTTATTTCTTGTTTATTTTTTAGTTTTTTAGTTTATTTTATTTGTTTTTTTTAAATAGATCCTTTTTATTACTTTTTGAAAATCTTTTCCTTTTTTTGGATCTCTCAAATGCGGCGATTTTTTGGAGAGTCCTAATTCGGAATGCATTTCGAAGCGAGAAATCTTTTCAGACATACAGAAAAGATGAAAATAAATAAAAAACTACAAAAATTGTCTTCTTTTTCACTTAAAATACTTATTTGAATAGCTTTTTGATGATTTGTTTTTGTTTTTTGATGATTCTTCTTCTAATTACAGTATTTTGTCTATCAAAGATATCATTTCTCAATGAGCTTTGCTATGCTTTGCTATGCTTTGCTATGCTTTGCTATGCTTTGCTATGCTTTGCTATGCTTTGCTATGCTTTGCTATGCTTTGCTATGCTTTGCTATGCTTTGCTATGCTTTGCTATGCTTTGCTATGCTTTGCTATGCTTTGCTTTGCTTTTCTTTGCTTTGCTTTGCTATGCTTTGCTTTGCTTTGCTTTGCTTTGCTTTTCTTTGCTTTTCTTTGCTTTGCTTTGCTTTGCTTTGCTATGCTTTGCTATGCTTTGCTATGCTTTGCTATGCTTTGCTATGCTTTGCTTAACAAAAACTTATGCTTATTTATTTAATTAATCATTAGTTGTATAAAAGCTTTTAAACTTTCTTTTATTGAAGAAAAGTCGATTTCTTTTCCATCAAAGCTTTTCCCTCCAATCGGCCGTTATTTCTCAAAAACCCATTACGCGGCGCACTCCTCGGCCATTTTTCGGGGCGATGAAAGCGAGAACGAACTTCGATTTAAAGCTTTTTCTTTCTGTTTTTTCTTTTGTTGAATTTGTTTGTATAGTAAATAGAAATTAATAAAGGATAAAAAGAAAAATTTTTTAGAAAAAATTCCAAGTTTTCTCTTGAACAAACAGTTTTTTTGCTAATTTAAAAAATTTTCTTGCTAATTTAAAAAAATTAACATAATTATCAATGATTCTGCGTTGAATGATACTAAATACTTGATGGGTGGACGCTCCTAGACCCACTCATTCATAATCGGCTACGGGGGTCCCGCCGCTTTTGAATGAAACGTTGTAGCGCCGGCAATTTTTATAGACGCAGAATTGAATTCGCTACAAGATGATATAATATTGTCCTCATACATTAAAGGGTTGCTCTACTAGAAAGATTTACCAAAAAATTTCATTCATAATCGGCTACGAGATATAGATTTGGATATTAGTAGTAGATAGTAGTAGACCCAGTAATCGATTCGAACATTAGTAGTAGACAGCAGACAGATTTGGACATTAGTAGTAGACAGTAGTAGACCCAGTAATCGATTCTTAGAACCTGTTAGTAAACAATTACACAAGTAACCGTCTACCGTACACTTTGCCTTTCAGACGTTTCCGCGCCAAACGTCGGTAACTACCGTAACCCGACGCAATAAAAGGACCCCGCCAAAAAGAATTTTTCAGTCTTTTTTTTCCATTGACACCAAAATGGGTTTCTTTTGAAGAAAGTGCTCAAACCGTCACATATGACAATAGCCCGCAGTTTTCAATTCACCAACCCAATAGATATCTAGAATAGATAGA